GCTACCTTAGGCGTGTTCTCCCAACGACTGTGGACAGCGACCATTGGGCGTGTGTACATTGGGGCGGAGGTGGACGTGGTGGTACCTGCAGGCGTGGCGCGGGCGTGCAGCATCCAGCTCTCAGCCCACGCCACCTGGCAACGCTGGTCCAACGCTGACATCAGACTACAGCCTGGTCAGTATACACCTGGCTCCCACTCAAACATTATATATATATATATATATATATATAATGGCTTATATATATATATATATATATATATATATATATATATATATACATATATATATATATATATATATATATATATATATATATATATATATATATATATATATATATATATATATATACATATATATATATATATATATATATATATATATATATATATATATATATATATATATATACACATATATATATATATATATATATATATATATATATATATATGTATATATATATATATATATATATATATATATATATATATATATATATATATATATATGTGTGTACTCACCTAATTGTGCTTGCGGGGGTTGAGCTCTGGCTCTTTGGTCCCGCCTCTCAACCGTCAATCAACTGGTGTACAGATTCCTGAGCCTATTGGGCTCTATCATATCTACATTTGAAACTGTGAATGGAGTCAGCCTCCACCACATCACTTCCTAATGCATTCCATTTGCTAACTACTCTGACACTGAAAAAGTTCTTTCTAACGTCTCTGTGGCTCATTTGGGTACTCAGCTTCCACCTGTGTCCCCTTGTTCGCGTCCCACCAGTGTTGAAAAGTTCGTCCTTGTTTACCCGGTCGATTCCCCTGAGGATTTTGTAGGTTGTGATCATGTCCCCCCTTACTCTTCTGTCTTCCAGTGTCGTGAGGTGCATTTCCCGCAGCCTTTCCTCATAACTCATGCCTCTTAGTTCTGGGACTAGTCTAGTAGCATACCTTTGGACTTTTTCCAGCTTCGTCTTGTGCTTGACAAGGTACGGGCTCCATGCTGGGGCCGCATACTCCAGGATTGGTCTTACATATGTGGTGTACAAGATTCTGAATGATTCCTTACACAGGTTCCTGAACGCCGTTCTGATGTTAGCCAGCCTCGCATATGCCGCAGACGTTATTCTCTTTATGTGGGCTTCAGGAGACAGGTTTGGTGTGATATCAACTCCTAGATCTTTCTCTCTGTCTGTTTCATTAAGTACTTCATCTCCTATTCTGTATCCTGTGCCTGGCCTCCTGTTTCCACTGCCTAGTTTCATTACTTTGCATTTACTCGGGTTGAACTTCAACAGCCATTTGTTGGACCATTCACTCAGTCTATCCAGGTCATCTTGTAGCCTCCTACTATCATCCTCTGTTTCAATCCTCCTCATAATTTTTGCATCGTCGTGTGTGTGTGTGTGTGTGTAAATCACGAAAATTAACACGTGATGAAAAATGTGACAGTGTCTGACCACGGAGGAAGAATTGAAACAGGAATTTCCTTAAGTACTTTAGTATATTAATACATCTTCAGAAGGAATCCTTCTGAAGATTCCTTCTGAAGATGTATTAATATACTAAAGTACTTAAGGAAATTCCTGTTTCAATTCTTCCTCCGTGGTCAGACACTCACATTTTCATCACGTGCTAATTTTCGTGATTTACACACACACACACACACACATACATATACTGGTCAATATATATATATATAATAATGTACCAGAATAAGGTTCTGGAAATTCTTCTACTCCCCAAGCCAGGTTTGACTAGTGATAACTTGGTCCAACAGGTTGTTGCTTGGAGCGGCCCGGAGGGCCCACATATCCACCACAGCCTGGTTGGTCGGGCAGTTCTTGTCAAAAACTGTCTGGCTTTTTCTTGAAGACTTAAACTTTTGTTCCGGCAATATATCTTATACTTGCTAGAATGTATAAGTATATTTGTTATACTTGCTGGACCTCTGATCTTCATAGTTCAAACAACGTTCTCTGATTGTGCCTATGGCACCTCTACTCTTCACTGGTTCTATTCTGCATTTCCTTCCGTATCTTTCGCTCCAGTATGTTGTTATTCTACTGTGCAAATTTGGGACCTGACCTTCCAGTATCTTCAATGTATATATTATTTGAGGCCTTTCTCGTCTCCTTCGCAGAGGGTACATTTTGAGAGCTTTGAGACGGTCCCAATAATTTAGATGTTTTATAGTTTCTGTGCGTGCCGTATATGTTCTCTGTATTCCCTCTAGTTCAGAGAGCTCTCTGCTGTTGTGAAAGGGAGAAGTAAGTATGGTGTGCGTTGTTACTGAGTGGCTACTACCTGGTCAGGTCAGTAGGTAGCCAGGGTAGTCCCTGTGGCGGGTACCCACACTACTCCTGGGTAGTACTGACTGTGGTGTGTTGCAGGAGGCGGTGAGGCGGCTGCCGCGGCTGTGGGCGCGGGCGCTGGATGGGAGTGGGGGCCGGAGGGCAGCATGGGCGTGGGCGTGGCACAACCCGAAGGATGTGGGCGTGGGGGTCAGTATATCACCCTGGACGCCGACCTTCTACAGGACCTGCAGCACGATGACCTACACACACTAGGTAACCTTCTTCAGCCACTCCTTCGCCTCCTCCTTCGCCTCCCCTCCTACCTGGTCAGTTCTTCTCCTTGTGCTTCCTGACGTGTCGTGCACGTCTTGGTCTCCTGACTACTGCATGTGTGTGTGTGTGTGTGTGTGTGTGTGTGTGTGTGTGTGTGTGTGTGTGTGTGTGTGTGTGTGTGTGTGTGTAACTACAGCATGTAACCATTACCAATAATAATGCCATGTGACCTTCAGGAGGGTCGCTGGTGGGCGGGTGGGCGCGCTACCGATGGGGCGTGTTCGAAGAGCGAGGCTACGACGCCCACCCTCGTTATCCCTCAGCCCACATCAAGGAGGGCTCTGTCACGCCCACAGCCTGCACGCCCACACCCACGCCCGGACGATGGACCCCCAGGATAGGGTGAGTCCCACCTTGTATCTCTTATTGTTAGTGATTTATATATTGATTTAAATGGTAATGTATGAGTGGGGACATTTCCTCACCACACACTGAGTCTTACTCAGTGCTTCTTACTTACCTCTTACTTACCTTACTTATACTCAGTGTTCCTTACTTACCCAGCAAGTCACAACTAAATGGTCCAACAACCCTTGGCTCACTAAGGGGTTACGAACCTCAATTAATAATAAAATCATGAATATGAGAACAAATGCGGACTAGGTATCATTCCCAGAGAGCTGACCGAACAGTGTTCCTCGCGGCTCTATAAGGTAATCAAACACCCCCAAGACAACCAAATATGATCATCATTTTAAACTTATCAAATGTAACATGAAGAAAACATGGAACACTATTCCCTAGATATTAAGGTCGAAGAAGAACGTTGATAATAAGGTAATATTACTAGCAGGAAATAGTGGAATGAGATCAGGCGGTGACACAGTTACTAACTTCAATAGTTTCTACCATTGGCACCTCCCTGGCTTATGAGAGCCCTCTATGAGACCACCTCTGGCGGCTATCCCAAGTCCCAGTGATGGTAGTGTAGTGGTGGTACTGTGGTGATGGGAGTATAGTGGTGGTAGTGTAGTGGTGGTACTGTGGTGATGGGAGTATAGTGATGATGATGATGGTGTTGGCAGGTCTGGGGAGTGTGAGGAAGGTGCTGACGATGGCGTGACAGGCTGTGTGTGGCTGCCAGACGACACTCACCACCTTAATACCTCTCTCCTCTACCGCTCTGACCTTCCTCAGGTGAGTACCCTCACACTCACCCCTCAGGTGAGTACCCTCACACTCACCCCTCCGGTGAGTACCCTCACACTCACCTTCCTCAGGTGAGTACCCTCACACTCACCTTCCTCAGGTGAGTACCCTCACACTCACCCCTCAGGTGAGTACCCTCACACTCACCCCTCAGGTGAGTACCCTCACACTCACCCCTCCGGTGAGTACCCTCACACTCACCCCTCAGGTGAGTACCCTCACACTCACCCCTCCGGTGAGTAAGGTCGGCTCCACCTCTAGCTAACTATGAACATATTCATATGAAATAAATGTAATGGTGTGATTCTCAAAATGTTTTATGTTTTAGATTTGTATTAAGAAAATATTTTGCAATTTAGTTTGTAAGTTAGTGAGTGACTTGCAGATGTGGGGGTTCTGCGACTATGGCAGCCACGACGAAGACGCCCCCACACCCCACAACTTGCTGTGTGAAGCCGCCAGCGTGTGGGAGGTCATACTCCAACACCCGGACATGAGGCAGCCTCCGCCCCACACTACACCACACTCCACCTCCCCCCCACACCACCCCCACACTCTCTCCCCCACACAACACACCCTCCACACCCAGGCCACCGCCGGGGACGCACCCACGCCCCTGCAGAGGTTTCCTACTGAGGAGAGACGGAGTAGTGCGGAGGCTTCCACTCTGACGCTGGACGTTACCGGCACAGAGGAGGCGCTCTCAAGCGCCAACACGTCCGCCATTAATGACACATTGTTTCTGAGTGACGTTAGACGGCGACTTTCGGATAGAAATGACATAGTTGGGAAGAGCTCGGCAGCGTCCACGACGGTCCAGCACGCCAACACCGCCCACTTGGAGGGCGGGAACTCCGCCAGAAGGAGAAGAGCTAGCAGCCAGGATATGAGGAGGGGCGTGGTCCCTCTACGTCCCAGCTTGGTTACTGCCCACATGGCCACCTCCACCCCACACCCGCCCTCTCCCGCCCACCGTCACCACGGGACCAACCTCACCACTGCGGGGCACCTGACACCCTCCCACCTCCACCATCACACCGCTCAACACCCGAGGTGAGCTGCATCACTCTCAACTCTTCAATTAGACCATGATGTATATACTTGTTTTAAGTTAAGCTTTCCAAATTTGTATCCATTGTTGTTAATTATTAATAGCTTATTTATATCCTGCTTGTGTTACACCTTACATATGTATATGTTAGGTTAGTTTTACATTTATGGATAGTTTGATTTCTGAGGTGATATTCAACCTGGCCTGAGTACACTTATATTTAATACACACCATATACATTTTAGTGTTACTCCAAGAAGATAAATACAGCTATTTCGTTCTTATGGTGTTCAATGGTAATGTAATGGGCGTGTGGTGGCAGGTTGGTGTTGATGGGAGGTGGTGACGATGTTGGTGTGAGTGTGGAGGACTCTGCCTCCAGCAGCACCCCAGCCTGGAGTGGTGGTCCACCAGCAGGGCACACGACGCCGCCCTCCCCACACTGGCCTCCTGCAGACCCGACCCTGGTGCTGCTGGCCCCCGCCCCCAGCGTGGTGGTGCTCGCTCTGGACCTCTCCGACCCCGCCGTCGCCCAGGTAACATCCCTAACTCCTCTCACCCTCTCCTACATCCACCTTCCCTCTACACCTATACTTCACTAAAACATGCATTTTGTGTTTACACACACACACACATTTGTATAGACGGGGCCTGAAGGCTGAGTGAACAGCGCTCGGGATTTGTAGTCCTAGGGTCCGGGGTATCGATCCCGGCGGATGCGGCAAGAAATGGGCAGAGTTTCTTTCATTCTGATGCGCCTGTTCACCTAGCAGTAAATAGTTACTTGGGAGTTAGACAGCTGCTACGGGCTGCGTTCCTGTGTGTGTGTGTACTCACCTAATTGTGCTTGCGGGGGTTGAGCTCTGGCTCTTTGGTCCCGCCTCTCAACTCTGTGTGTGTGTGTGGGGGGGGGGGGGTGACAAAGAGGCAGAGGTCAACCCTGGCAAGCACAAGTAGACGAGTAGCCACACACAGTACTGTTGTCCCTGCTCTACACTACTACTGTTGATATGCTACTTGTATTTTTTCAGGTGAAGATGGATGTGTTGAGAGGAGGCATCCTGCGGTGGCTGTGGGGTCTTGGGCCCCATGTGAGGGTGGGGGTCCTGGCGGCCTACAACAACGCCTCCTACCCCCTCACCCTGGGCCCACTCTTCCCGGGGCCCACCACCGCCGCCCACCTGGAGGACGAGCTGGCCCTCTTGCCCTCCACAGACGAGGTTCAGCATGGCGTCTACGGCGGAGAGTACTGCCTCTCCTGTGTCCTACACGAGGCCACCAAGGTGAGTGCTCAGCTCTGGGGAGAGGTAGTAGGAGGCACTTATATATATATATATATATATATATATATATATATATATATATATATATATATATAATATATATATAATATATATATATAATAATATATATATATATATATATATATATATATATATATATATATATATATATATATATTATTTATATATATATATATATATATATATATATATATATATATATATATATATATATAACTGAAAACTCACACCCCAGAAGTGACTCGAACCCATACTCCCAGAAGCAACGCAACTGGTATGTACAAGACGCCTTAATCCACTTGACCATCACGACTGGACAAAATGAGGTGATAGCCGAGGCTATTTGAACCACCCCACCGCCGGCACTCGGATAGTAATCTTGGGCATAGCATTTTACCCAAATCACCTCATTCTCTGGGGCACACGTGAGGAACACAAATGCGAACAAGCCTGAATGGTCCCCAGGACAATATGCAACTGAAAACTCCAAGATTACTATCCGAGTGCCGGCGGTGTGTGTTTTCAGTTGCATATTGTCCTGGGGACCATTCAGGCTTGTTCGCATATATATATATATATATATATATATATATATATATATATATATATATATATATATATATATGGTAGGTCGCTCTATTCTTATGTGAATTGCCTCAAGAATTTGTAATCTTCTTGAATCTGGGGTTTGTCTATATATATATATATATATATATATATATATATATATATATATATATATATATATATATATATGTGCAGGCGATGAGTCACAATAACGTGGCTGAAGTATGTTGACCAGACCACACACTAGGAAGTGTAGAAAGTGAAGACAATCGACTTGAGAATGGTCCAAGATGGACCGAAACGTCGTCGTCCCTTCACTTTCTATAGTGTGTGGTCTGGTCACAATATATATATATATATATATATATATATATATATATTCAGTTGCATATTGTCCTGGGGACCATTCAGGCTTGTTCGCATATATATATATATATATATATATATATATATATATATATATATATATATATATATATATATGTCGTACCTAGTAGCCAGAACTCACTTCTCAGCCTACTATGCATGGCCCAATTTGCCTAATAAGCCAAGTTTTCATGAATTAATTGTTTTTCGACTACCTAACCTACCTAACCTAACCTAACCTAACTTTTTCGGCTACCTAACCTAACCTATAAAGATAGGTTAGGTTAGGTTAGGTAGGGTTGGTTAGGTTCGGTCATATATCTACGATAATTTTAACTCCAATAAAAAAAATTGTCCTCATTCATAATAAAATGGGTAGCTTTATCATTTCATTAGAAAAAATTAGAGAAAATATATTAATTCAGGAAAACTTGGCTTATTAGGCAAATCGGGCCTTGCATAGTAGGACAAAAAGTGCGTTCTGGCTACTAGGTACGACATATATATATATATATATATATATATATATATATATATATATATATATATATATATATATATATATATATATATATTTTCAGTTGCATATTGTCCTGGGGACCATTCAGGCTTGTTCGCATATATTATATATATATATATATATATATATATATATATATATATATATATATATATATATATATATATATATATATATATGAGACAGTGTCAGACCATGAAGGAAGAATTGAAACAGGAATTTCCTTAAATACTTTCGTATTTAATAATACATTTTTAGAAGGAATGAAGATATATGTGTGTGTGTGTGTGTGTGTAACAAACGCACACAATATATATGTTCATTTACACAATTTATTATGGTCTGACGCCTAGGGATGCGTTTCGCAACGCACTCCTTACATTTTCAGACATTGATTGATAGATTGATAAAGATTAAGCCACCCAAGAGGTGGCACGGGCATGAATAGCCCGTAAGTGGTACAATTTTTTTTTTCTCAGTATTCTGAGGTTGCATTTAACCATCAAGCTGTTATCGCGGGGGAGGATACTGCTTCACAGTCTTTATGAGGGTGTCCAGCTGCTGGACACCTTTGTTGACCAGGAGAGTGGGTGTGTTGATGGCTTCAGGGTGGCCACTGCATGATTCAGGAACTCTTAAAGCTCTTCTAAGGTCATTGGTTGCTTCACATTCTAGAAGATAGTGAAGTAATGGCTTTTCTGTGACAGTTTGGCAGAAGATGCACTCTCTCTGTCGGGGTTCACCAATCTCCCAGTTGCATCTGTAACCTAGACGTAGTCTATATAACCTAACTTTTCAGACATATTTACCCCATGCTTATATTCGCTCGGGGTTAGGTGGTACATGACATGATTGAGATGAACAAGTGGATGAAATATAATAGATATTAATAGCCTATTAATATCATGCATGGACATAAGCAGCTTCTGTTCTTGCTTCTGCTATCTGTGTTGGTTCGGGGTCTTGAAGTGGGTAGGATGTAATTATGTGTTAACTGGTTGTTGATTGCTGGTCTTGACTTTTTGGTGTGTATCGCCTCGCTGATGTCCAGTCTTCTGTCGTTATAACTGTCGATTATTTCACTGAATTAAGTTACATTAAGTTACAACACTACGTGCATGAATCTTCAAGTTATTATTGGTGTCCTTTGGCAGATGATGGAGGGAGGCGGTGTAGGAGACGGTGGAGGGGTGTTGCTGGTGGCGGCGTGCACTCCTGCAGTAACGCCAGCACACATCGCTCAAGCCCTCCACTCAAACATCTCTGTTATTCACACTCTGGCGCTGTGTCACTCCACCGACTTCCTGTTCGACCAGCTGGCGGGTCCCGGAGGATTGTCGTGGGTGTTGCCAGGTCCTGCAGCCGAAGACGGTGACGGGGCGGAGCAGCGTGCTGGGAAGGTGCTCACGGCCGCCACACGGGCCACACTGGCCGCCCCTGGAGACCCCACGCTCGTCAGGGTAGGTCCTCCCTCCTCTCTTCCTAGTTTTCACATCCACTCCTGTCTCCAGTCATGGCTCACTCTTGTTCGCCTCTTGCAAAAGCAGCCGTAATTATGCACGCGCACGCACACACACACACACACACACACACACACACACACACACACACACACACACACACACACACACACACACACATATTCATAAACATCATATATATACATTATTGACACGATTGACGCCCCATAATATTGACAAGATTATGGAGCTCCAAGAGATCCATAACGTTTAAACACAGTGTTAACCAAGGAACATCTTGTAACCTTTAAATATCTAATAAAACACAACAAAACACAAAAGTAAGGAGGTGGTAGGATAAAAGTACATAGAAACTGTATTGGAGGCGACCTAAACATTCCCTCTAATGCGTTATGAGGGCTTTTCTCCGAGGCTAACAGTTCTCTTATTCCAGTCAGATGTGGTACACCGTATACACATCTGGCATAATCAGAAGTCACAATAAAATAACTAGCAAACAAAGAACTCGTACCGAATAAAACTACCAATCAAAAGAAATTAAAACAAACGACATAAGTTATGAAACAAAGCACTTAAGCTTACTTAAAGTTGATCAAACCTACTTAAACTTTATAACTGTCACATAGATAATAAAAGCTAAATTAAACATTAACTAGTAAAACAAACTACACTATTAAAACTTACGTGAAGTGATCAGAGTGAAACTTGATAATTAACACATAGATAATCAACACTAATACAACTATTAGAATAATGACTTCACACTTACAAAAAATGTATATAAAACACAAGCAAATTAGAAGTCAATTATAAAATGCTCGCCAAAATCTTATGAAAACTTAAATATCAAATAAAACTAAACACCAACAAATGTATTGAATGTCTTAAATAAAAGACTGTAATAATATATAATATCAACACTCGAAATAAGTAAAAAAAAAACATGGTAAACTAAAAAAAATTTACAAATGCTATTTTAAAATTCTAGACACTTGTATAAATGGCCAGTCGGATTTGAGAATAATGGGATCCTTATATATGAGTGAGCGGCGGCCTCTGTTAAATGGCAACCTTTCGGCTGTTCAGCTGTACAATATATTGTACACAATATATACCTCTAAAAACTCTATGAGGAAACACACCAATATTTCACACATGACTCCATGAAAATCGCCTGGGGGGGGGGGGTGGTGAGATCTCTATAAATGCTAATATTTCTTAAAGCAAGGCAAAGTTAGGCAAGGTAGGCAAACCTCAACGGGCCTATATCAGTCCAGTACCCCAGACCATTCCCTCTGCAAAGCTGGTTGAGGCTAGCCCAAAGTGTGTGGGCCTCCAACCTCCTTTGAAGAGTCTCTTATATAACTATAGGCTGTGAGGTTCACTGTTGCATGACAGGTTGGCGGGGTGGTGGCAGAGGTGGCGGCCGGGGGCGTGGTGAACGGTGGACCCTACAGCAGCGTCAGCGGCAGAGTGACGCTGCCCTCTGCTGGCGACCTCCTCCTCCTCCTCATTACCACACACTTCCATGCTAAGGTAACATCCTCTCCTCTTCTTGAAGGTATTCTTTTACATATGATACATTGGAAAATATATGCGATTGGCTTAAACTTGAAACACTTATGTATGATCATTGTACAGGCTTTTTTTTTTTGTTGAAACTATATGATGTAGAGTTTTTGTGACCATTATAGGAAAATACATTTTCAGAGTCGATCCTCCCTTGATATTACTTATTTTACGATGGGATATTGTGTTCTCAAGCAACCTAACAGTGTGATCCTACAGGCCCAATGATTTGTGCATTTATTTTATTTATTTATTTATTTATTTATTTACAAGAATAAGTGGGTTTGTGAGATTACATAATATTGTAATCCTAACTCTATGATAGTAGACAGACTTAGTGTTCCATCCTTTAGGGCAGAGGATTGTAAGCTGGGGTCTCATTTCCCATTATGGGGTAAGGAGACACAAATAATTGGGCTTTGGGACTTTTATCTCTCGACAGTTAAATCAGAAATGTTGTTAGATGAGAATAAAGTATGACTGCTACCATTACACACGGAGGTTCCTTGTGTTAACTGCACAAAAACAGCCGTCAAAATATTCCAAGTTGTAGCTAACTTGTCTGTTATATGACCTTTATATAAATCTGATCACATTCTTAATTGTTTTCTTGCATGTGTTATGTTCCTCGTTATCCATATGTAACGTAAAACCAAGATACTGACGTGTTTTGAAGTCATACTGTCTACATAATATATGATATAATGTGTGTCAGGCTGACTACAGTCGGAGTAGAGAGGTAGGATAGCTGCCGGTAAGATATGTAGTACCATGTGTCTGGGTCTCTGGGATATTTCTGGCAAGGTTAGCACCAGTTAATGGGAAAAAAAGCTATTAAAATTGAGTTGCCGTTTTTAAGTCAAGTGTGTAATCATCCTTGGAGAGTTTTATCTTCTTGTTATGTGATACTTGTTAAGATCATTGGATGTTAGAGATGGCTCTCCATGTGTTTTTCATGTTTCCTTTTGCTTCTTTAAATCTATTCTCATAAAAGGAAAGTTTAGCTCTTATTATATTGGTAAGCATTAGTGAGTATATTTTAACTACTTTTATAACTAGGTCAATCCTATGTTACTTTCATATTGATATATATCTTGTTGATTGCTTTAACTGCGGCACTTGTGACTGAGGCGTTGTTTAATCTTTTGTCAGTTATTTGTTTGGTGAGGAGGACTGTGTGTGTTGTAGAGGCTCAGGGGTTGGCACACAAACTGGTCGGTTAATGAAGTTTTATCCTGTGTATTGTTGAATTCAGATTCCTAGTTTATATTGTGGAGTTTATTTATGACATTGCCTTTTAGTGCATTGCTGTGTTGTCTGCAGGTTACTTTCTTGGTATCCGATGGTGTTATAGTATTAATTACATACTCTATATTTTTTTCTTTTTGTCTCAACAGATTGTGGAATTAACAGGTCCCTCTGGAGAGGAAATAGACTTAATTAGAGACACGAACCAGCGGTTTTGGGCGATATTGGACAAGAATGGCGGAGAGTACATTTACAATTTAAAGTTCCTCACAAGTTCTATTGAATTTCCGTTTTCTGTAACGGTGGATGTTTATGAGAGAAAACAGAATAGCGTTGGTATTGAGGTGAGACTCTACACAAACAACGATGGCCATGTGCCCTTGGAACCTGGGTCGAAACCTCTGGTGGTGTGGGCCGAGGTCACCCTAGATGGCCGGCCCGTCGTGGGGTCAAAGGTTATGCTCAAAGTGAGTCACCTGAGTGAGAGCGGTTCAACAGACTTAATGGTGGAGCTTCTTGATAATGGAAATGCAGGTATATTCAAATTTGTTTTTTGTTGAATTTGTTATATATGGTTAGATTCCGTATATTACCTAAAATGCAATTGTATTAGTATTGGGAAATCCAATAGTTTTAGAAGAATAGCTCCAATAGTTTTAGAGGATTTAAGGGATTTGATCGAGAACTGAGCAATGGTTTATTACCAATAGTAATTTCTGTTGCTAATGACACTTGTGCAAGTTATCTTGATAACAGCTGTAACGCCCCTCTTTTACCCGACATGCAGTTGTGAATGGCTTTATAACCAGGTAAGTTGTATAGTTGGCTATGGTCTTAGCCATGTTACTGTTAAAATAATGAATGTAGTACCAAGTGCTTCTGGTAATGCATTTATATCATCAAAATGTTTACCAAGTGATCTGATATTTTGGTTGAAAACAGATAGACTAGTGTTATTTTGGAGTTTTGTTTTGGTTGGTGAGGGGAGGTTTGTTGTGTAGTAATTGTAGTAGTTATGATCAGTGTGTTGGTTACCGTAGGTGTGTGACAACAGATTTCATTAGAGGTCAATGTCTGTTTGCATGTAGTGAAAATGGAGAAGACTGTGTAAGAATGTTCAGATAAGAATATAACATAATAGAGGTGTGTGACAAAAGGATGAAAATTAGATAATTGTCTACAGTATTGAAACACAAAATGTTGTTGGATCTTATCTTGAAGTTATCTTGAGATGATTTCGGGGCTTTTTAGTGTCCCCGCGGCCCGGTCCTCGACCAGGCCCCCACCCCCAGGAAGCAGCCCGTGACAGCTGACTAACACCCAGGTACCTATTTTACTGCTAGGTAACAGGGGCATAGGGTGAAAGAAACTCTGCCCATTGTTTCTCGCCGGCGCCTGGGATCGAACCGAGGACCACAGGATCACAAGTATATATATTACTGAGTGAATATATAACTCCTGGGATTATTAATTATATAAGTAAAAATGGTTAAATATACTTAAAACATGGACCAGAACACAGAACAGAACTGGTTTAAATCCATGTTGTAAGTGAGGAGTATGTAATGTGTGTGTTGGTGTAGTGAGTGTATTGTGATGTGTGTGTGTGTACACAGAGCCGGACGTGCGGGCCCAGGATGGCGTCTACACCAGGTACCTGACGTGGCTGCCGGGGGAGGGCCGCTACGCGCTCTCTGCCACTGCCACCGACCACCATGGGGCCGCCTCCGTCCTCAGGCCCAGGAGAAGGGGTGAGTCTCCACCTCTAGTATACCATCTCTACTAGACCATCCAGGTCTATCTTGTGCTCCTGTCACGCTGCGCCTTCCTGGCTTTGTGGCTTTATTAACCCTATAAATGTGGCATTCAATGTTTGGCTTCATGGAGAGCTTGACGTAACTGTGATGTTCATCAGTTGTTGCCTTTATAATGTCTTATGTGTTGATATTAAAGACGGATAATTCAGGTAGTGTTCTTGGTGCGCAGATGGTCGCGTAGTGCCAGTGAGCGCCGGCCAGTTCACGGTCACCAGCAGTGCCTTGACGGTGACTGTGGCCCGTGTCACCTCAGCTGACATTACACCACCGTCGCGAGTCACCGACCTGACAGTGACCTCCGTGGGCGACACCACCGTCAACCTCACCTGGTCAGCACCTGGAGGCGACCTGGATCAAGGCTCAGGTCAGTTGACATTTAACTTGTTAAAATTTTATCTTTATTTATTTAATATTAAAAATATAAGCATATCTTATTTAACTTTGTTTCGTCTTTTATATATAAGATCCTTTGTATAGAAATTTAAGTAATAATTACGCTTATTTATACCTAAATACAAACATTTGGTGGTGAGAGTGACATGTTTTATTTATTATTATTATGTTGGTGCGGCTTGTAGCGTGGGTGTACGAGCTGAAGATGTACAGTGAGCGAGGCGCCCTGAGCGAGGAGCGCTTCAACACCTCCACCATCGCTGTGTACTGCATCAGTGAGGACCTGCAGGCACCAGCACAGACCCCCGCCTCCTACGGCACCGCGCAACACTGCCTCACCCACCTCCCCTTCACCAACCTCAGATGGTAACGTGCTCACCTTTCTCACTCCTCCCTACCCCGACCTTTCCACACTACCCGTGTCCGCCTTCCCTTTATCACAGCTTGGACGTGAACTTGTAGAACATTTGCTGCCACCACCATTAGTGTGGTGGTTCTCCACTCTACCACCAACATTAAGGATCAGTAGGTATTATAAAAGGATAAAAGTCAGTCGGCGCGGTTCTGAGTCTTATCAGAATTTCTCTCTCTTAAAAGAGTATATATATGTTCTTGTAGCCTCAGCCCATAAGACTCTGTCTGACAGTGAAGAGAGTGGAGGTGGACACTACTCTTCCTCACTGGTGTTAGTGACCTAACCCCACGGACACAACCCTCCATGTAAATACACATCATGCTAAGTAAATGTAATGAGTCGGGACAGATGAATATTGTAAAATATTGCAAGAAGGCCTTGACAAGCTGCATAGTTTGAGGAATGGTTACTTAAATTAAATACCAGCAAGTGTATGGTGATGAAAATGGAGCTGGAGACCGGCAGGATTATACGCAATGAAGAGGAACTATCTCTCCTAAACAAGTAAAGAAGAAGACCTGAGATTAGATACAACAACACAAAGTCTTACTCCAGAGCCACGTATAAATTGGACAACGTTAGTAGTACACTCTAAACTGGCGAACTTCTGAATAGTCTTTAGGAATCTGAATAAGAAGGCATCCACAACATTACACCTACGTGAGGCCAGTCATAAAGTATGCAGCCCAGATGTGGCAGCCCATCTCAACATCACATGGAAACTTGAAAGAGCAGTTTGCAATGGTTGCTACCACTTTTACCGATATTAGACAAGGTACCGCGTCACTCTGGGATTGTAAGGTAGTTCAAGTACTGTACTTGGCACGGAGGCAGGCAACAGGCCGTCTTTAATGTAGGACTCACGCGCCAAGATTTTGGGGTCAACTAAGAAAGAAGAAGGTGGTAGGGGACGGTGAGCAAGACGGTCGGGATGGAGAAGGAAGGTGGACGCTCTCATAAGAGTTGGCGAATGGGTCTTCAGTTACACAATAACAATAACTGTAATATCTAGTTTGGTGGAAGTGTATGGAGCGATGAGGTAGAGGAGAGGGAGGGAGGGAGGGAGGGAGGACGGAGCCACAAGAGGAGGAGACATAGAAAAAGAAGACAGAGAAGAGATAACGAGAGGCCTTTGTATCTATCTTGTTAGTGGCTTTGCATGAATGTAAAAATTATCAAGCTTATGTAATCTCATTAACCCATTGTACCTTCTTGCAAAATATATTATTATTATTATTATTATTATTATTATTATTATTATTATTATTATTATTATTACCTGAGGGGACTAGGTGCGTGGTGCGTGATGGTGGTGTGGGCGGGCGTGAGCACCAGGGTGTTGGGGACGTTACCAGTAGTGCTGTATAAGGCCCTCTGCTACTGCTGCTGCTGGAGCCGCCCTCACCCTTGCCACGCCCACCACATACGCCATCCTTCAAGCTGATAGTTCACCCGCCGCACCACACAACCTTGCGCACCACAAGGTCACCCGCGGCCAAGACACGGTGGCGACCTTGGTGTTAACCCTTCCACACCTCCCATTATCACGCACCACAACACTCACCCTCACACACACACACACACACACACTCACACTCACACTCCTCCACTTTACTAATGGACGCTATTTCAGTCGATGTTGCGCATCCATGTCCTCAGACGCTGTACACTGGTGGGAGGAAGTGTAGACCAGGGCACCAGACCAATACTCTACCTTGCTAACAAAATCACGCAACCATAACTTTCAGTCACTCTCGGGTCCTACCCTCCCTTCACCCCATTTTAACACTCGTGTAACCTATTTATAAATAGACATATTTGGTATAAATTGTAAACATTACAAATCTCGGCCCGAGTACTTGGCTGAAGGGCATAATAATAATAATACCAGAATGATAAACATGGCCAGGTTGGCATCTGCTGCTCTGCGCTGCCCTCCACTGGCAGAGGCAGCCGACGGCAGCTTCTCAAACTTCTCTCATTGTTCTCTACAAGTTTTCATGCTTAATTTTGAACTGGAGAACTGTCTTGGTATTAATGTCTCTTGGTATTTAGCAGTCTCCGTGGTGTAGTGGTAAGACACTCGCCTGGCGTTCCGCGAGCGCTATGTCATGGGTTCGTATCCTGGCCGGGGAGGATTTATTGGGCGCAATTCCTTAACTGTAGCCTCTGTTTAACGCAACAGTAAAATGTGTACTTGGATGAAAAAACGATTCTTCGCGGCAGGGGATCGTATTCCAGGGACCATAGGATTAAGTAGGATTAAGAACTTGCCCGAAACGCTACGCGTACTAGTGGCTGTACAAGAATGTAACAACTCTTGTATATATCTCAAAAAAAAAAAATGTTTAGGAGGACGGCAGATGTTATGGGTTTCTTTTGTTTGATTCAATTCTAACCCCCCCCCCATACCCATATCCTGTGAGTGGTAGTAAAAATGTCCCATACCCATATCCTGTGAGTGGTAGTAAAAATGTCCCATACCCATATCCTGTGAGTGGTAGTAAAAATACTTAATTTTAATTCGTAAAAATCAACTAAAAACGATTTGAGTAAGATCATTAATACAGTTATTTTATTAATATTTCGTTATCACATTATTATGTCATAAATATATTATTATCTCATTAATGATTCCTGAAACTGACATGTATTGGTCATTAGGCCTTCAGGAGGTCCCTCTTATGTTTGTGAACTAAGACATTGTTTCTCGCCTCACCTCATTCCTGCCTGTATGTCCACCATCACTGAATTGTAATATACATCCTTCTCAAGATGCATTATTAAATACGAAAGTACTTAAGGAATTTCCTGTCTTTATTCTTCCTTCGTTGTCTGACATTATCACATTGTTCATCATGTGTTGATTTACACACACACACACACACACACACACACACACACACACACACACACACACACACACACACACACTAAAAAATGTATGACTTTCTTAATTGGCATCTAATTGATATATCAATTGTTGTTAAATTGGTTACTCAAGTCATATATGATATCTTCTTGCTTGTTTTTAAAGGTTTACCCTCCCATTACGCCTGTCAGTTCTACTCCTTTACTCTCCGTTATGTTCCAGCAGCGTTACTTAAGCGTTACTTAACTACACATTTGTATTTTCTTGCTGTTATTAATCTCAAAGTTTACTTGTGTACTGTTGCTGGCACTACAGACTCCATAGTGTCTGTTATCATTATCATCTTTATATTGTATATTATTTGTTATATTCTTCAACATTGTACACGTGTTAGCTTACTTCTCATTTAGTATTAAGTGTTTACCCCATTATACATAGACATCATTTTTGTATCTGAATTTTTCTCAAGTTTTGCCCAAACGCTTTCCCATAGTGTTAGTTTTATTGTATGTGTGAGTCCTGTACCTGCACTTGTCCCTTTGTCTCATCTTTGTTAGCACGTCCTTATGAATCAAATAGTATTATTATTATTATTATTATTATTATTATTATTTATTATTATTACGTTGTAGATGTGGACACATCACGTGACAGTCCGTCATGGCACTTTTTAGTTATTCTATACTACATTACTATTTCTCCATCTAGTTAAATATAAGGTGGGCATAAAAAACTCATGCTAAATATCCGCTGAAGTCTGATTGTGAGCTTTGGTGCCCTTTGTAATACTTTTGTGGTACCTGTGACACCATGGTGATGGAGTACACAATATACTTGCCACCGCTGGCGCCAACTGTCAAATTATTCTGATACATAAACGTCATCGATGTGTTTTGATAATTTTTTACCGTGTTTGTCATCTGATCCTCAGGTACTTTGCAATACGTGCAGTTGATTCTTCAAACAACACGGGTCGCATCTCTAACATAGTGTCAGCCTTCGTGCCAGACCCGCCCACCACCCCACCGCCCACAAGCCATCCAGCTTCAAGCGTGCAGACGGTGATCATGTCGACCATCACGGCTGGCAGCCCTCATCACCCCCACACTCACAGTAACGCAACATCCAGGGACCACTCCAAGAGCGCCAGCTACGGCTGGAGAGTGTGGGTGGCTGTGGGTGTTGGGGTTGGCGGCATCATTCTGGCACTTGGCATGGTCCTGGCGTGTGTCTGCTGCTGCAGGACAAACCCGACCATTGGAGAGAAGGACCCTGATCGTCCAGTGTACAAAATCTATGTGAACAACGCCTACATCCAGGAGGAAGACCGGGAGATTAAAGTGGTCAGTAACGGCAAACTGGTAGACGACAACGAGCCCAGCCAGGTGAGCCAAAATCACATGAGCTCTATTTACTCGTTTCTAACCTTATATTCACTTTATTCTTTATATTGTATATGATAGTTCTAGTTCTGCTTGTGTGGAGGTCATCCCGTTGTTTAACCTGACATTGACAGTTTGTGTGCAAATATTATTTCTATAAAACCTACTTGCTGCTGTAGTCCGTCCAGTAGAAGATTGGACTGGGCCGTCGGTGTAGACACAGTGCTCGTGAGATCTCAAGTTTTCGATGGAGGAGGCAATTGTTTCAAGTGTGACAACTTTGGGAAGAGCAAGATTCTCATTACCTTTCTTGGTGACGGGTGTGTATGATACTTGAATGGTGGGGTACAGATAAAGAAGAATATCGGAGACAGGTAAATTGCACTTACAAGGAATGGTGAGTTTTGTTAGATTGTAGGCATTTCTGATCAACCATATGTCATAAAATGAGTGAGTTGGTATGTTGGCACCAGTCAATAGGGTGTTAACAGCACTGAATAATTTGTCTCTAAGCAATGCAGGAAATTAATGTCTCTCATGACTTTAAGGCAAAAGGTCGTGTTGACTTGCATGATTCTCTCTCCAGTATGGTTGGAAGCTTCAGTTCTTCCCTCATGTTGATGATTCTTGTGCATCTTGGGGCACCAAGCATTATCCTCATGGCTTCATTCTATACTACTACAAGTTTGTCCAACAACGGGGGCGCAGAGGCGGGGAGGTTAATTAGGTGAAAGGCATGATAATCAACTAGAAGTCTAACAAACATCATATAGAACCATCTAGCATATTTAATATTGATACCAATATTCTTACCAGTAAGTGTTTTCAGTGGTTTAAGTATCTTTTAACCTACGATGTAGAGCTTTTACAAAGTCACCTTTGGTATTAACTACAAGGTATTTGTGCTGCCCAAACGTTTCAATGTTCTGGTTGTTGACCTTGAAAGTTAGAGGGACATGAGTTTTATCTTGGGAATGGAAAGCTCTGGATTTAGTTATAGAGATAAGACCACATTCAATACATTTAGCAGTGAGTAAATCAAATTGAGCTTGCTGTCTAGTTTGGGTATTTGCAACAATGCATATGTCATCGGCATAATGACGGCTTCGTGAGGTAGTGTGGGAATATCAGTTGCAAATATCAAACATTTGTGCGTCAGAACATTGAACAGTGTAGGGCTTAGCACTCCACCCTGGGGTGTACCCAACTCAAAGAGTGCACAATGGTTTCTTTTGACCCCCTTGAAAAGGACTGAGGCGGTTCTGTTACTCAGGTAACCCCTGAGCCATGTCAACAGTCTTCCCTTAACTCCAAAAGAAGCTAGTTATTTTACGATTATTTCTCTGCTGTATCAAAAGCAGTTTGGAGGTCAATAAATGCCGCCTGAGAGCTTGGTCCCTCTCCTCTCCTTACCTGATACAAAGAGATTCTATATACAGTACTACTCCCCAAATTAACAATAATAATAATAATACATATGCACAAATAAATCACATTAACGTGGTGTATCAATAAGAAAATCAGTAAGAGCCGTGAGGAGGGTTCGAACCTGTGGTGTAGTGGTGTATATTTATGTCATAAATATATTATTATCTCATTAATGATTCCTGAAACTGACATGTTGATGAAACTGCATGTTTGCTTGGGAATGCCCAGAGCGCAGGTTCGTATCCTCCTCATGGCTCCTGCTGATTTTCTCAATAATAATAATAATAATAATAATAATAACTAGTACTAATAACAATAATTATTAACCCAGGTGCAAGAGTGGGTCAACTCCTTATCGAAGTTTGGGTCACCAGACGTATACGGAGGTGAGCCCGGGGAGGCTCCTGCGGCCTCTACCGACGCCCCGCTGGTGGAGTGCCGCCCGAGGGCCTCTGTCAAATACTCAAGTCCGGTCCGCTTTGGGGTCTTAACAAATGGCTCCATTATGCGGGAGGCTTGTCCTTCTTCCTCTTCAACGTCGTCATCTAAACCCTCTGATGACCCAGGCAATGAAGATTTAAAATATCGGGACTTATCAGAAACTACCAGCAATTCAACGACGGACGGAGGAGCTTCAGCAGCCTCAACTGCAACAACAGACACAGTACCTCCGCCACCTCCTGTTCTAGAGACGGCAAGAGCAGTTCCTGTTAACATTAAAGCAACTGAGAGTGACCTGCCATTACCACCACCCCCATCACAGCTAATGCAACAACACCTAGGAATTCCGGGTCCTACTGTCATATCTATACACTCGGGTCGTGCCCTCAACAGCGGCTACAGCAGTGATGAAGAAGGAGGGTTCAGACCACGAACATTGCCAGGACCAGGACCTCGCAGATACCTCCCAACACACTTCTCCTCCTTCCGTTACCTGCCGCCCCCGCCAGAGTACCGCTCAGCGCTGGGTAACGCTGCACCTCTTGACTACCCGACCTGCCACACCATCTCCAGAGCGACAGCCACACTTCCACATGGCACAGTTCGCAGTGTTAAGAAACGTCGCCACATATCCTTTGTGTAGATACAAATAGTCGAGTAAACCTTTACACACCTAATTGCCTAAGAAAAACAATATTGTGACATTAATAATGGCATATTACGTTACTTGAGAGAGTGCAGACAGTCTTCAGTGTTCGCAAAGTGGTGTAAAATCCTTACCAATATCCGAAATCAACTTTTTCTTTACTGAAATAAACTTTTATTTAGCAGCAGTTCAAAAAATGATGAAAATGACAATATATTACCTAAAGACATCTTGCATTTTATATATATATATATATATATATATATATATATATATATATATATATATATATATATATATATATATATATATATATATATATATATATATGAAACCTCATGAAACACTGAAAATTCCAATACTATGCTTTACTAAATATATGTGTGGGACTCACATTAGATCCATTTAAGGAAATACTTGAATGTGTTATATCTTGTACACGTTCAGCAGTCTCTCCTACACAATTATCTACATATTGCGTATTTTCATATATGTAAATACTGTATGTAAATATTTTTGTCATAGGCCAAAATTACTTATTTTCATTGTGATAAAGGTGTATATATTTTTGACCTCGCATGAAGTTTGACAAAGAGTTCATGTTTTTATTAAATAAATATAACTTTTTTCAGAACGTTAGGAAACTTTTGTGCATTTTGAGAATGTTAGCTTTTGCACTTATTTATTTTTTGATCACCATTCCCTCCATGGCATACCTTTGTAGCATACCACTATATTGCTTGTTGCCGGAGAGCAAGCGACCGGCGGGCAGGTGTTGGGGGGGGGAGGGATGGTTGTCAGCAGGAGTGGTGCCGAGTGCCACCATACACCACCACTGTCAAGGTGTTGTCATGCACACGTGTTGTCATGTATAGGTATTACCATGAACATATGTACATTCACAGATGTTACTATGTATATGCAGGTGTTACCATGGACATACACAGGTGTTACCATGGACATGCAGAGGTATTACCATTGTAAACTTATGTATATAGTACTTGTGACATTAAACTTTTATTCAGATTTTGTTGTAAATCACTTAAACACATTGAATACTGGATCAAACTATCAACTTTACATATTAAACAATCCTTCTGACAATAATTTCAGAATCTAGATGTTTGGTATGAAAGTAAGTTAATGAACTGGTATGCAAATGAATGGAAGAGAACTGCATGAAAAGGGAGAAATTAAGATTAATTGGGAAGGATTGGGCAGAGAAAGAAAGGATGGGTGGCCTGCATTTTCCTAGACTTCTATAATGCAACGCCTCACTGGCGGCAAAATTGTAAACCGGGACATTATCATTATGCTGGGAATTAATAGGTGTAACCCTATTGACCAGACCACACACTAGAAGGTGAAGGGACGACGACCTCCACTCATTCTCGACTTGAGAATGGTCCAGGACGGACCGAAACGTCGTCGTCCCTTCACCTTCTAGTGTGTGGTCTGGTCAACATACTTCAGCCACGTTATTGTGACTCATCGTCTGTACAGGTATAATCCTATTTACTATACATATTTGCATTGGCATCAAACGTTCATTCAATTTGTATTGTTGCTGAACTCATTAGTACGTCCTTCAAACGACCTTTAAAACGTCAGATGTAACACAAACAAGGAACAACGGTGTCAAGCTCCTTGCTCTTTTTGCTGATGGGCGCGTAAGACACTTGTATTTCAAGGTACAGATATAATGGAATATCATTGGCTAGTAGAAAAAGTGGGTTACTGGTTGTCCATACAACATACTGTACTATCCACCAAATATAGTTCTATAAGTATTATAAGTATAGTTATTATAAGTTACTAGAGTATATAGTTACTATAAGTATAGTTGTGATGTAACTGCTTATTAGCCGACCTGGGACACGCATACACGCCAAGTGTGTCTGAAACATGGTTATCACCTGCACCGGTAAATTAAAAGTGTCATTTGACGGAGAGCGAGGTGGACCAGGAGGCGAGGGGACCACTCGCCTATTGGGCCTAAACCACACTTGTATCAGGAACACGAAAATTGCTCTTGTGCCATACTACCCCCAGAGCCGCTATTGCGTTATTCTTCGATCGGAGATGCTAGTGACCATTAAACAATGCAGCCTCAGTTCAGTGTAGATATTTTTGTTCCCTTCTTTTCCCTTACCACTTCAGGGGGTGTTGGGTTTTTATATAGCTTCAGGGCACTACCTCTCCCCCGACCACTGGGGATGGGGAGAGGTAGGCACCCCTAAGCACTCATATACTTCCCTAACAACACAAACTAAAATACATAAATGGTTAGTTGGCATATCTCACTCACAGGAGTTAAGATGAAAATAATAATGGTTAGTACAATGGAAAAATATTTTGTATTTGGTTTTCTTATATAAGACAGCACACAATGGGAAGGGTGCACAGTATACCATTGATGAGAACAAAGGCTGAAGGCAAAAGCAGCAGGGTGCCTAACCGGCAGGTTTGGTGACTTTACAACAGCATGTATGAAAATAAATTCATAGCCGAGCTCCTGGCAAGGCCCGGAAGCAGGAGGGTTATCATGTATGGGCTTGGTGGTCCCTCTGCCCGCCGCCTTACTCATGGGCTCCGAGCAGGTCGTCCGCCCTCCCGTGAGAAACCCTTCAGGTAAGTGGCTCCCTCGGTGACGACTCTGCATAGGTAGTTAGCTACCAGCTGTCCTGGCTGAGGGTCTCATCGTGACTATATTTCACCCTGTGCATCCATTGCACTGTGATCCGGGGGGTAAGGTGGTCTCCCCCTTGACGTGTACTTGGACTATATTATGTTGAGGAAATACGTCCAGGTTAGGGCTTCCACAGAGTAAATCTCAAGGTTGCTCTTGGTGAGGTCCTTATCTTGCAGCCCGCGTGCACTCTCCCTGGACCATCCCACTCTTCAATTCAGAGTGATTCACAGCAGGAGACACAGCGGCTGCCCTCCATGAACGGTGGCAGCAACACCAGCAGCAGTCACAGCAGGAGACACAACGGCTGACCCTCATGTATGGTAGCAGCAACACTATTTGCTCCAGCAGGAAGGTTAAATTATGTTGATCTTCCAGCCTGCGTTCAAGCAGAGCCGACCAACATTCTTGATGACTTGCTGAATCACAAGGACATTGGTGACTCTCGCTTCAGTAACGGGAATGGGAATAAGTGCTGTTGCTGTTGCTACTAAATTGTCACGAATATGTGGAGATTGTGGGTGACCTTGAACCCACGCATATTTGTGGAGGCATTCTAGACCTCTGTGTTGGTTTCAACGTCTCTCGCGTCTGGTGCACATCATCTATTGTAACAGATTTGTTGTCAGATCATCACCCTAGATTGACTACTCTATGTATCTGAAATATCATCCTGTCCGGTGGAACTCTTAAACGCAAACGGTTCAGTGTTCCTCCGGTTCGACGTGAAGACTTTGTTGCTCATATGTCAAAGTGGTACAGCACTTATGATCCCTCCACAGTCCGAACATTTAACGACGATCTAGTACAGAACATTCAGATATACGCTGACCCTTTAGATCGGCCCCAATAGTCGGAACGACATGAAAAGTTGTAAATATCATGCTATTACAATGACCCCCAAATTGCGTACTTTGAAACGCACTGCCAGACGAGTTGGACTTGCATATAGGAAAACACGTACGCCAGCAATGCTCAAGCTCTTTCAGAAAGCCTTAGCCAAGGCGAGAGAGCGCATGACATTTCAGAAGGACATAATTGCTCTGGAGGAATTGTAACACCGGGCAACAAAAGTCATTCTAGAGCTAAGACAACTCACGTATCAGGAACGGTTGAGAGCCACTGTGCTAACAACACTGCAAACCAGGCATGACAGGGTGGATCTCAATGAAACTTTTAAATTACCGAACAATTTGGAGGATGTTGATCCGGACAATTTCTTCAAAAGATCAGATGTTACACAAACAAGGAGCAACGGTGTCAAGCTCAACAAGCCACAATATAGGACAGAAAACAAGAGAGGCTTTTTCACCCACAGGGTTATAAACCCATGAAACAGCCTACCTGCCGAATCCGTAAATTTACCTGAATTTATCTGAGGGCCACTAACACTAGTTGCTCGACGAGGGCAGGAAGCCGGTGGGTTGTCAAAGTTGTTGTTGTCAGATGTTGTATGATTCCCTCCCTTAGGATTCTCTCCATGAGCTTGCAGATGTGTGATGTCAAGCTGATCAGATGGTAGTTTTCTGCCGAACTCTTTCTGCCTTTTTTGAAAATAAGGATAACATTTGCATATTTCTAATCTCTGGGAACTATTCCTCGGACTATGGATTTCCTGAAAAGGAGTTTCAGTGGTATGCATAGTGCATCTACCAATTCCTTAACGACTTTGGACTGAATTCCATCCACACCTGGAGCTTGTGAGTCTCTCAATGTGTCAATGTTCTTCATGATTGTGTCGCACGTTATGTGTATATCCCTTAATTCGTTCTCCTCACTTCCTTCAAACATTTGTGTAGGGATGGGATGTCATCCAAACTTTCCAGTGTGAACACTGATGTAAAATATTAATTCAAAGTGTTTGCTGCCCTTTCATCGTCCATTATAACTTGGTTAGTCTCATCTTTTAATGATCTTACAGAGTCCTTAGATTTAGTTTTACTTCGTATATAGGCATAGAATGACTTTGAGTCTTCCTTCATGTTTTGGGAAAGTTTTATTTTGACTAAGTGGCTGAATTTAATGTCCTTTATATATCTCATATCCATGATGTTCATTTGTGAATGTATACCGTCTCCAGAGGTTTGGTCTAGTTAAATCTCTTTTTACTACTTGTGTCATCCATCTAGTTCCCTTGCTTTGCTTTCTACTTTTCGGCACATATTTTTGAACGAGTTCAGTGATGATCTTTTTTAAATTTGTCCATGATGATTCCATGCCATAGTCACCTATCAGCTCCCTCCATGAGGTGTTTTGCAATTCTTCTCTCATTCATTGATAGTCTCACTGATGGTAATCTAGAAAGTCATCATCCTGGACCTTTTACGTGAGTTTCCGTAATATTATATCATCTTACAATATTGTGAGAACCCAACGGGGTGAGCTTTTCCCCGACCTGAATTTGATGGATCATACTCTCATTTGATGTTAGCACAAGGTCCAGAATGCTGTTACCTCGAGTGGGCTCTCTCACATGTTGTATGAGAAAGGAGTCCTGCACCAAGTGAAGAAATTGTTGCCCTTCTGCTTGCATTGTTAGATTTACCAAATCTATTGTCTCGTGGTTGAAGTCTCCCATTATTGTAATGCAGCATTGAGCACATTATGCAGGTAAATTCCAAAACTCTGTTGAACTTTAAAATCCAACTTGAAAAAAAATCATCAGGACAGGGGGGGGGACCTTTGACAAGCCGTCGACTTTCTGTCCTCTTGAAGGAAACTAGAGTACTCACCTAATTGTACTCACCTAATTGAGCTTGCGGGGATTGAGCTCTGGCTCTCTGGTCCCGCCTCTCAACCGTCAATCAACAGGTATGAAGTGTTATTGCCCTCAGGTAAATTCAGGAACAGTATCTTTTTTGCCTATAGTGTAGGGTACCCTAGCGTTAGTTAACTGTTGCGGGGTTGCATCTGGAAGAGATGATCAGTAGTTGGACCTGGAGTTGGTGTTATAGATTCAGCTACTGGGAACAAAAAGTTCCAAGTAGCACGAGTTATGGTGAGCCCGTAGTGGATTTACCTGGCACATGAGCGGGGCAATAACCGGACTTGGGGGCCAGGCTAACGTATATATATATGTACATAAGCTGCCTGTCCCCGATAATACTAATTCACTGGAATTAGTTGGCCTATGTATTCATTATAATATGCAGGCTTAGTGCTACGGTCACCTATTGCTCGACGTTTATATACTTTGAAAAGTCCTATATAAGCCCTTATATCTTTAAAACAATAAGGTCATGCAGGTATAATCGATAATATGAGGAGAAATAGCAGGAATTTGAGATAAATGTGATGTGAGAGGTTGTGTGGGCGGTGTGGAGGACTAGTTTGTGTGGCGGAGGGTGTAGGTGGTGCGGGTGTGTGCAAGGGCAGGAGGAGCAGGGCGGCCGGCTTGTGTGAGCAGCTCGTCACCACCAGCCACGCTATTCTCTTCTCTACCGCCTCTCCTCTCTACACCAGCCTCCAACACTCGCCCTCATGTACTGGAGTGGTCTCAGGTACGTCACCCTTCACCTCCGGCCCTCTAGTGTCTCCTCTACTGTGGTATTCTCGTAGGAGAGTGTGCCAGACAAAGGCGGTACCGGGAGGGTGGCGTGCGCACGGCCGCGGCGCCCTGCGCACCTCTACACCTTCTCTCCTGTCTCTCTCTCTCTGTAATGTCACCAGCAGGTGGAGGCTACCACGGTGTGGGCGCCGTGTGGGCACTGTGGCGGTGTGGGGCAGCGTCAAGTGTGAGGCGTGAGTGTGAGTGGTGGAGGTGGAGAGCCCCGCAGCGTGGCGGCGGCCGCTGCTGGTATTGATTAAGGATTTACAATGGTGTCTGGGCAGCCTCCAGGTGGGGCGTGTTGCTGCACCAGCTGGCCCCCGGGGCCCTGCTGGCACTGACCAGCCTGCCTCAAGCACACTTGAGGTTTACACCCCAGTGTGGGGGAGGGGGGGGGGTATACCACCACACTACCACACTACCACACTACACTACACTACACTCTGGCCTCGTGTCTTCTACACAACGTTTAAGCCTTGTATAATGTTAGGCTGTGATGGGTTCACTTGGGTTACCTGGTCGATACCTGGTTGATGGGGTTCTGGGAATTCTTCTTCTCCCCAAGCCCGGCCCGAGGCCAGGCTTGACTTGTGAGAGTTTGGTTAGGGTCACCCTTGTATATTGTTAGATTGTTTGTTTTAAAATGGTTTACCATTTTTATAATGTGACTTGTATCCATTAATTCATATGTTTTTCATATACATTATTAAACCTAATTCAAGCCAAGACGGGATGCATTAACATTACTACCTGTTGTCTGTGGACAAAATGTAAGAAATTAGTTAATGGATGAAAAGTTTATGTATAAAAGTTTATGGATGAATTGACCATTGTTAAGCCCCTGTATATATTGTAAAAGACATGGGGGGGGGTACTGACGAGGCCTCCACGAGGGGGTTAGTTACGCAGACAATAAGCCCGTCTCTCGTTCACACCTTCCTGGTAGCTTTGGAAGCAAACAGGTTTACTGGGGAGGTTGCATCGGCCGAGGGGTGTCGCAGCGTTCCTAATTAGTGATGTTGAGGTAGGGTGGCCGTGTAGTGGTGCCGAGGTGTGAAGGAAGTGTGGGTGTTTACTGATGGAGGCGCCCTTCCCGGGGGTGACGTCCCGGGATCCCCACGTGGTGCCTCGGACGGTGGCCTCTGGGTGTGTGCTAGTAATATGGACTATCGCACTCGTTTAATTTGCCACCAAGATTCTCACAGAGATCGTTGAGTTGGTGTAAATTTTGTCCAGTTTGGTGTTCGTGCCATTGAATAAGTTATATATATTCTCTTCCATACTGTAGGTTCAGGACATGAATTACTAGGCCAATTTTAAGGACTAGCTTCAGGTGATGCTCCTGGAGATGGGGTGGTTGTATATGGCTAACTTATGCAAGTAGCCCCTCCCTGTGGAAACTAGTCATACCAAATGGGCACATTTGCTTGCACAGATAGATTTTGTAGGTCATTCTGGAGGTCATTCTGGCATATGGTTTGCAGAGTTACCAGGCACCGATAAAGGCCCCTGGGCACCGATAAAGGCCCCTGGGCACCGATAAAGAGTTACCTTGCGTTGATTCAGAGGGGGTCAATGTCCCCACGGCCAAGTATCTGACCAGGCCTCTTGGTTAATGATTGGGTCAACCAGGATGTTTGATGCGGCTGTTCACACCCTGACATATAAATTACAGCTTGATTGATCAGGTATCCTTTGGAGGGATTTATAGAGTTCTCTTAAACACTGAGAGGTGTTCTCTTCTCTCGCTGTTCCTTTTGTGACCGGGTACCTGGCAGCAGGTAGTGAAAGCCGCTAACAAAATGCTGCATTGATCTTTGCCATGTGAAAAGTGGGCAAGTGTTAAGAGTAAACTTGGACAAAAACTAACAAATTTACTACAAAAAAAAAAAAAGAAACTGATTTCCAACAACAATTAACTTGCGGATCTTGGCTCCTACACAAATAGCAAAAATAATTAAATGAACACGTGAAAGTTACATTAATCTGTTTGTACTGTGACGGGTTGTGGTATCGCAGTTATACTGAACCAAGATGGTATGGCTCTCCCTCACACAAATAAAAAAAAATGCTGCTAATGGCCTTGCAGTGTGTAAGTCGCAGGTGGAAACAAATTAAAATCATCAAATAAATTATTTAAACAATTTACAGAAATATTAACGAACAAAAATGACACATGACAATACTTGGCTATTATATAGCATATCAAATAAGTAAATGAAAGTTTAACTCTAAAAAGATATACTGGTGTACTGAAGATAGCTACCATACCACCACGGCATCAGACACACGGCGTTGGCTGTAGTCAGAAGACAGGTGAGAGACACCAAGGTGTTCCAAGAGCACTAAGGGAGAGACTGGCTCTCCAGGGAGGCAGCACCCTTTATATAGTCCGGTGGTGATGACTCATCCAGTGTCAACACAAGGTGGACATCTGGTCAACTAGCAAACTGCTCGTTTGTGGCTGGCGGCGCCTTTGTGTTGAGCTGCACCACTGCCAGTTGAAGGCGGCTAACTGCTTGTTTGTGGTGGCAAACTACCGGTTAGCAGAGGCGCCTGGCTTGCCTCCGAGTTGTACCAGGCCGTGCCAGGCCCGGGGGGGTACGGAGAGGTGGTAGGACTGATGACTCATCTGGGCCGGTATAGCTGTAGACTTCTAGTGCAGAGGCATTAAAGGTGAAGGGAAAAGGCAGTTCCACTGCTATGCAGGGGATTCACGTGACAGTACAATATGAACAACTTTTGCTTACGAAAGAGTACATGTAAAACATCACAACCTGGGCACGAAACGTCTGGGAGGCAGATCATGTCCAGCTTGCAATGTTGACCCTGGAGCACCTGAGACTAAGACGGTGCTGGTTGGGGGTATATATAGCCCCTGCTAATGATGTTACATCCCGTGGTAACGTTGCTGCTAATGAGGAGCCGGCAGGGTAACTACTGCCGGTGAGGTGTCTGAAACAACAATAATTTGTTTCTAATGTTTGTTGGGATGGTGTTGAAGAGCTGTGGACCTCTGATCAGTGTTCTTTGATTGTGCCTATGTCACCTCTACTCTTCACTGGTTCTATTCTGCATTTTCATTTGTACCTTTTGCTCTAGTATGTTATTCTACTGTGCAAATTTGGGACCTGGCCTTCAAGTATCTTCCATGTACTGTATATATTATTTAATACCTTTCTCGTCTCCTTTCCAAAGAATACATTTTGAGAGCTTTGAGGCGGTCCCAATAATTTAATGTTTTATCATTTCTATGCGTGCCGTTTAGGTTCTCTGTATTCTCACTAATTCAGAGATCTCTCCTGCTCTGAAAGAGGAAATGAGTACCAAGCAATACTCAAGACGGGACAGTACAAGTGATTTCAATAGTATTAGCATTGCTGTTGGGTCTTTGGATTTGAATGTTCTCATAATCCATCCTATCATTTTCCTGGCCGCCTCTATATTTGCTCCGTTATGTTCACTATATCAGGTTGTCAAACATCATAATTCCCAGATCTTTTACTCCACTAAGTACTTGTACTAGTAATTACTAATTACTGTACTCCAATAATTACTGGTACTTCACTAATAGCACTAAAACAATAAGTGGTCTAAGGCATGTTCTTGGGACTACCCAGGTTTGAATCCTCCTCATGGCTCTCATTAATTTTTCTCATTGATACATCATGTTAATGTGATCTCTTTTCGAAATGGAGAGAACTTGCTAAGGGCAATTGGCTCGTGCAACGTAGCTGCTATTTATACCCAGTCCAACATACTCATTTGTCTTAACTATGTTTTAAACATCAAATGATCCCATGTCTCTCTTGGTAATATAAATCACCAACCCTATTTTCAAACTAGTATTTACCCAGTTTTTTTCTGAATCTAAACTTATCTAATTTGTATACTGTACGTTGCTTCGTGTTCATAAATTTGAATTCCATATAAATATCCTTTTGAATACTTCACTCATGTCCCCTTTTACTCTACATTTTGAGAGAATGTAAATTTAGCTTAGCTCTTCATAAGAAAAATTTTCTGATCCATGTGATTAATTTCTCCATACATACAGTATTAGTTTTGCTTATTCTGTAGTACTGTATAGTGTCCAAAGCTGAACTGTGTATAAATTTTTTTTTCTGTACAGTGCTGCTGCAAATGCAGCTGCTGCATACCAAACTGGTCAGACTGGCTACCCTGTTGGCCACACCCCTACTGGTACATACACTACGCAGCGGGCAGCAGGATCTACCTACGATACTGGGTATCAGACTGCTGCAGCTGCTGCAACCCATTCCACTGCAGCCGGTACTTACCCAAGTGCTGCTGCTTCTGCCACATACGATTATGGTTATGGCCGGACCACACAAACTGCAGCTGCTGCCGCTGCAGCAGCTTACGACTCTTCCAAGACCTACTATGCACAGCCATCTTCTGCTACTGCTTATACTGGTGCAGATACTCACTACCACAGTAAGACAATAACTATGATTGATATATAGTAGTGCAATATTCATTTATATTGATATAATTTTTTTAATTGCACAAATATTTTTAAGTTATACAATTATTTCCTACTTTTCTGTTCAAAGTTGTAAAGTTTTTATAAGATATGCATTGTTTCAATCCATTTGTTAGGTGAGGAGATTTTGATGCCGGCTTGTTTGATTTGGAGAAATAAGCTTCATTCTGAGAAAGCAGCAGTTTTTAGTGCAGTATTGGTTTAGCCATTTAGTATTAATGTGAAATTCTTATGTGCTCGTACATAGCACAAGGGTAAACATCTCTTTTTGGTATTCTAAATTGTATCAAGAATTTTGGTAGTGGGGAGCTATCCTAGATGTAGAGCTAAAAAACTGGGAACTTACTAGTACTATGTTTTTCAAGCCTGAGAATGCCCATCTTTTACGGATGTGCACTTTGTGTTCACACTTTGAGATTTCAACTATGGTGATTTCTATGGTTTCCCATTTTAAACTGGCAGATTTAAGCAATAACAGCAGGGATAAAATTGACAAAGCAGACAATGAGTCAAAATAACATGGCTTGAAAATGATTTCCATCTTCATTTCCATCCAATTTTTCAAGACACCCTATTGAATAATAATACTGCCCCCCCCCAAAAAAAAAAAAAAATTCGACAAATACAGTATGTAAAATACAGCGGAAACTCTCGCTCTATGCCTGGCCATGGGCTGCCGTCACTGGGTGATTGCTCCATGAATTGACACCATTGCAAGATTCCCTCACTCCACCATGGCCAAAGTCAGTCGCATACTATGATTTTTTATATTTTTCTGTGACCAGGAAATAGATTTTAACAACTTAATAAAAAAAACGTGCACAGTAGTAGGTTGTCATGGTAATTAGGGTGAGCTGTGCAGGGGTAAACACAACACTAGTTCATTTGGATGCAGTGAACATTTTCATTACTGGTAGTATGATCATTATGATCAGTTACAACAGACGCTTTCTAGTATAGTGACCCCATGTATATGCTGGCATGGTATTCATGAGCAAAATTCAACCAAAATTTGTTTTTATTTTTATACAATGGTAGACTGAATGTAATGGAAGTGGTACAGGAGAGGGTGGGTAGCACCTCACCATTTCATAGAATTAGGTGTACATATCTTCTTTACATACTGTGGTACTATATAATCTTCCAAGCTTGGTGCCACTTTCTGATAATTCTTGTGCTGCTGTCACCTATCTGATCTATGCTACATAATTTGTGATGTTATTCAATCCTTGTTTCTTCAGTCACTGTCTGCCCATCTTGGTCTAACTTATCAAAATCATTTGAATAATTTGCCAACATTACACTCTAACATCTTTACATTTCATTCTTTACTATATTTTACCACCGTATGCTTCTGGCTGTTCATGCCTACTGTGCTAATTCTAGATTTTCAGTCATTGAATATCGGCGTTTTTCCATTCAGACTAATATTTTCATGTTTATTCCATTCATACTCGGCAATAATTAAGACAGTGTTAGTGTACGTTGTGTCCTGGAGGTAAATTCCTTCAGAAATGAGTAAATTTTCAACTGTAAGTTTGGTAGTTTGTCAAGAATTTTGAGTGCATAGGCAAGTAGATAAAAAATTGAACAGAGAAATGGGAACTGATTGTTTTAAATTTAATATATATGTTTCCAATAAGTGTGGGATCATGAAAGACCTTAGATGTTTTCTCTACAGACAAAGCTGCTTATACCAATGCCAGTGCGTACACCACAACATCACGCCAGACAACTCCTGTTGTGACCCCGAAGGCGAGCTATACTGGAACATACCCTGGAGCTGCAGCTGCTGCTGCAACAGCTACCTATAACACCTCACCTTATGCTGTTCAAACAACAACTGCAAATAAAGGTAACTTTTTGGGTTTGTGTTGAAGTAACTATATAATGAAGTGCAAGTATGTGGCATTGTTAAAAGTAATGAAATCCTACTACACTAACTTTTTATTGAACTGTTAGAAATACTTTTAATTAAGGGAAAGGGAAAATAAGAACATAGGGTAGGAAGCTGATGCCTTATTATGTGTTGGAGCATTATGGAAAGAAGTTAATCAGGGAATTTCTAGGGATAAGGGAATTTCCAGAGGTAGCCTGGCTACCTCTGGAAATCGGGGAGTAATGCAAGGCAATCGGGGACAAACGTAAGGCACACTTACATTTCTCCTTGATTGCTTGTTTTCAGAGGTTTCGTTTGGGGGGCTTTTTGTTTTATAATTTGTCGCTTGACACCCCCTCCCCCGTTGTGCTTGGAGGTTCTTCTGTTTTATCTTATTAGACTTTGCCTAGGGTGACTGCAGTTGAACCCCCTTGCCTTGCCTTTGGTTTCAAGTAGCCGGGGTTGCCTATTCCATTCAGGGATAACTGGCATATCATTCAAAGTGCAGGGTAAAAGAGCCCTGCAGACAATGGAAAACCCATATTTCATTTGGTTGTACTATGTACTTCTGAGCCTGCTCCAGTTTTGTGCGAATTTGAGGGTTGTTCATTGCCAATGTCACCTGGTGACGTTCATACGTTCTGCCCCTGCCATGCTGCCTGTTGGGTTGGTGGCATCTTTGACCCCGAGTCATGTGGAACTTGTTCCCACCATGCGATTCATCTAACCCATTCCTCAGTTGAAGCCTAGAGGTTTGAGGCAGCAATGACTTTACACTTGAGGTTGTCAGAGTTGCAGCGGTCTAGATTGTGTGGTTGGTTGGATGACCCAGATTTACCCTGTTTGGTGTTTAGGGACTTGGATTTGGAGGTGTTGGTCAATTTGACTGTGGTTCCATCCGCACCTCTTCCATTCCCGGTGGGCTGGTTTCACCGTTTTCCTTCCCCCTAATGCTTCCAGTTTCAAAGCATTTGAGGGTTTTGGAATTAGGGCAGAGTTTAGCTCGACGATGTGGCTTAGGCGACTGGGGTTTGCCCCCTTCTGATACGGGTGTGGAGGCAGTTGAGCCTCTCGATCCCAACGAAGCTTTGGATCTTCCAAGCTGACCCCTTCCTTGGAAGCTTTTCCTTTGAATTTTCCTTCCCAGGCAGTGGGTGTGGATGAGGGGCTCAGAGGGGCCACGGGGCTCGGGGGGAATAGGATCAGGGCCCTTGGGGTCCCATTTGACCCTTTGTGGGCCTTTCTACCTTCTGCAAAGGGTCTTTTGTTGCAGGGTGACAGGTTTTTGTATCCCCCCTTCCCTGTGTGAGTGAGTTGGGTGTGGCTCCTCCCTGGGGTCATTTCAGTTTGGTGTCATTTGTTCTATTCTATATGGTTAAAGACCAAAATGTTGTTGAAATATAGAAATAATTCAAACTTGTGTAGTAAATGATAGAACTTTTTCTCTATGGTTAAATGGTTTTCGATGTATATTTTCTTTGTAAATGCTGCAGGTGTGAATTTATCACTATATTAATCTGTAATTGCATTCCATTCTAACTGATAATCTAGTAAAAAAATGGTATCTTGAAGATTTTGCTTAAAATGTTCACTTTATAATGTACTTTTCAATTTGAAACAGCCACAGCACTTCCTGTGTACATGCAGCAAACCTCACAGCCGGCTGCAACTGTTGCTGCTGTTAAAACTACTGGCAATACATGGCAGACTTTCAAGAAGCCTGGGGCTATGCAGGGGAAAACACAAAAGCCCAAGGCACCTCCAAAGCCACAGCAACTTCATTACTGTGATGTTTGTAAAATAAGCTGTGCAGGACCTCAAACATACAGAGAACATCTAGAGGGTCAGAAACACAAGAAGAAAGAGGCGGCTGCAAAGGCTGGGCCAACACCATCCCGTCATGGAGCATCACTGCGTTGTGAGCTGTGTGATGTAACCTGTACTGGTGCGGATGCTTATGCTGCTCATATTCGAGGTGCCAAACATCAGAAGGTAAAAATACAAAAAGTGAAAATAGTTTTATAATTCAATCATATTAAAAATATATGTATATAAATATTTGGTATAATTTCTAAAGTGCCTTTACAGTGTACATGTAAAGGCTCTGCAAATGGGTTGTACAATATAGGCAGTCCCCCTTCCCCCTTCCATTTTACTATAAATAGGTTGTTCTGAAAATAATGTTTTTGTAAAACATTTATTTGGAATGGGGAAAAAATCCCATAGGTGCAATGTTATAAATGAGGAATGTGTTCCTAGACCATCTTCACAAAAGCAGTGATTTTGTGACATAATTTAAAACAATGCAGCATATTAATTATCTTGAATGATGGAATTAATCTGCTTGTCATAAGTGGCTGTTGAAGAGTGAAGTGATATAGTAGCTAAAGGTTGTGGCTTCAGAAGTTGGTGATGCTCGGGCAATGGGTGGCAATGTGTTGGTAGCAGAGGTTGGCTGGTTATTTTCAGTCACTGGCTTTTCTTGATGTGGGAGGGTGCAAATTATCAGGGGGAAAGCACCAAGGCATTATGACTATAGCACTTAGAAGGGGTCTGGAAAAGGATTTGGGATGGGATGGGGGAAAGGAATGATGCCCAGTTACTTGGACAGTCGGGGATTGAACACTGATCTGCACGAAGCGAGACCGTTGCTCTATCGTCCAGTCCAAGTGGTTTGGTTTCTTGATGTGGGAGATCATGGGCGGGTGTCAGACACCTGTGGGTCATCGTCAATCTTGCTAGCTGCTGTAGAAGTTGATGGTTTTGGGTCTGACCGTTTCTTGAAACATTGTTTAGGGTACCAAGAGTGATGTTTTTGAGTGGAAATTGCTGGGCTGAGTTAGCAAATATGTTCTTGAGACACTTTGCACAACTATCTTTTCTATGTAAATTTGCTTATAGGGTACAAGTTCATTTAATAATTTTTGAGATGTCTTGATGTCTTTAAACATTGCCAATCAATCATCCATCACCTTAAATGCCTCTGCCATTTCCTTGACTGAATTGTTTTGCTGGGGGTGTCTCAACCACAAACTCCTTCAGAACAGCTTTATCTTAAACCTTTGCTTCCTCCAATTCCATAAGAATGTCACTTGTGAGCTTTTCTGAACGAGTCCAACAACTCGGGTAGTCAGTTCCTTTAACTGTTTTTCAAAACCTTAGAAATTTATAAATTGAGGTAAACCTTTTCAAAATCACCATTCACATTGGTCTCTAACTTCATCCCACACTATTCCCATGTAACTGGCTGACTTGTAAACATAATAGCTTTGCTAGAATTCCTCGAGGGAAATGTCTGTAATGACATTGACTTATGCCAGGCACTTCATTCCTGGCAAAAGGTTCTATGGGTGTGATAAGTCTTAAATGATCTTGTCAACCTCGGTGATTGCAGCACCGGGGTTGTGTTTTTTGGCAAGAATATAACCATGACATTTTGGCTCCATCCCTGTATCCTTTCCCTGCTGATGAGATGTGCCCTGCTTCTGTAAGGTCAATAGATTCTTGCATGCAGAGTACATGTGTATGATGATTAACCTGTGAATCATTGATGTATCCACTATCAAAGAAAAAGTATTAGATGAAACAAGATATTGAACTTATGTAGGTAGTATTTGGCTTTGCCAAATATGCTTAATGCAAAATTATGTATTCCTTATGAGTTGGAGAATAAACAATGTTTAAGGCAGAATGATCTTGTGTTACCTGGTTATACGTACGAAACTATGGTGGAAGTGCCTTCAACCTCTTTGGGGATGATATATTTTGAGATAATGGTTTGATAATACACTTCCAAATCTCATTAAAATTATAATGCAATGGAAAATTTAAGAATAATTTACTTAAGTTGAAACATTTGATTTAATTTCATTTACAGGTAGTTAAACTACACCAGAAATTAGGCAAGCCAATTCCATCGACTGATCCTGTTGTGGTTGGAGGTACAACTAAGACATCAACTACTACAGCTGGAGCTACTGTGGGTGCCAAGACAACTACAAGTGGAGGAACAGCTGCTGCCACAGGTACCCTCACAGCTACAGATGGAAAAAAGGATGACCTAAAAGATGATCTATTAGACCTTAAAGAGAAAGATGTCGAGCCAGTTGGACAAGAATATATTGAAGAAATTAAAAATGAAGAAGGTATGTAAATAATGATATTTCTGCTTATTGCAACCTCAAATATGAATTAAATTTGTAGTAGGCTTCAATTAATGGCATATTTTCCCAATGCATGGATATTTGAATACAAATTGGCTATTAAATTGTAAAAGTTATGCACAGTGAGCTAGTGGGGGAGCGAGTTGCTGTAGTCACCCCCACACAAACATGCACTTAACACTTTCGCACCCCCTTCGATGGTAAAAAAAAAAAGCGGTATGTGCGCGGAGCGTTTTTGCTGAGTAAGCGTAAAAACAAAAATGTGTGTACTCTTTTTACTCTCCTTACCTTAGTTCTTGAGCTACGTATTTCATTTTGGTACCAATGTGTTCGCAATAAAATTCTCTAGAAGAACATCAGTAAAAAGTGTCACGAAACGTATAGGGATACCAGCACCAAATAAATAACTACGAAGATGACTCGCCGTGAGCGCCCAATAGCAACAAAATGTTTTTACTCTTGGGATTGTTATCACCTCCACACTTGTCCTACAGCGTTAATTTTGGTATCAATGGACTCGCAATGAAATTCCCAACACGGTGATATGAATATAAGTGTAGAATAATGATTGCAGCCCGCCTGCAAGAGTGTGGAAAGTGGTGAAATTGTTACCCAGTATCGGTGACGGGACGACGCACGGCGCTTTGAAAGTTTATACTTATTTCACTCTCATGACATTAATTTTCTATGTACGTCATTCATTTTTGTGTCAATGTGTTCGCAATAGAATGTTCTATGAGCCCATAGGTAAAAAAGATCAACAAAGCGTAAGATAGAATAGCGCCAAATATAAAACAACGCTGGAACATATCAGTGAGCGTCAAACACACATGAAATGTTTTTACTTTTGTTATGTTTGTCAAGTTTATACTTGTTGCACACAGTTATTTTTGGTTGTACATTGATCGGAATAAAATTCCCTAAACAGACATATGCATATAATACATGATATGGGGGAAGCATTACCAGTATAAACGGCTAAAGTCACCCACCTGCAACCCGTTTGGGACATAATACCATTTGATCGAAGTGGTCCACACCTTTCATGAACTTATTGTACCATGCAGCCTAGTGGTGAGAAAGAGAGCCTCATGGCGCGCAGTTTGAAACAAACCCAAAGTAAATCGGATAAAAATTGAATTTTATAAAAATATTTTAAAAGAGGACATAACTTTGTCCACTATGCGGGAGCGGTTAGCGAAACAGGACTCCTCAGTGAGTCCGGTTAGCGCGAAAGTGTTAAACTCAAATGAGCTCAAGTAATGTAAGAAACTACTACTATATGCTGTTTAAAGAACAAGTATGACTGGCAGATAACACAAAATGTTGGGAGGTATCAATGCTCAAGGTATTAGCTATGAAATGGAGCTCATTTTACCTTGTCAGTGATGGTCATGAATTGTTTCATATGTTGCAGTACTAAAGTTCTTTCTAATAACTCTGTGGCTCATTTGGGCACTCGGTTGCCACCTGTATCCCCACGTGTGTGTGCGTGTGTGAGATTGGCATTTTTGCACGTAGTGTAGCCTGTAGATGAGCACCTCTGATTCCCTGCAGAACCATGCATCCACTTCTTTATTGACATTTTTCCTTATTTTGACCCTTTGTTTTATTATTTTTTTTTTTTTTTTATAAGCATTATGAAAGGCTAAAGCTTTCATGAGGGATGTTTCAACACCATCACAAACGATGATGGTGTTGGGGAAGGAAAAGGGATTGGTCATCTTTCATAGTATTTATATGCAGAGGAAATCTGATATGAGTTATTGCAGCAAAAGTTTAAAAATTTGCACATTTTCTTGTCCAATAAATATTTACGTGTTGAAGCTGCATCTGTGCCAATGCATGAAAGGCAGACAACCAGTGCTGCAGTCTCAACCACGTCTTAATAAATATGTAGAACCCTTTAAGCCCAACTGAAATCTAGAAAATTGTTATACAAGTATAGTAATATTAATTCTTTTGTGATCCTTAGGTGACTGTACAATAATTGATGTGTAAAGATTTTTCCAAGGTCAATAATAGGCCTTATATATAGTGATAATTTGCAACGCTTCGTTTTGTTATGTTTATAACTATTCTCTATCAGACCATCGCCACTCGAATATTGTGCTCATGGTATAAACTGTGTTAAGTTATTAATTTATAACTTCATCATTTGAAACCCTAATACTGATAATTATTGTTTCAGTACACTTTATCTTAAAGCCATTTTCAATATCAGTTTTTCTAGAGTATTAGCTAAGTCTGTATATATAGCTATTGGCTGATTTTTTTTATTGGTACAGCTTTAATTAAAATCTCTTATGGTGTTGTGCATGTACCTAATAAGGCAAAAAAGAAAAGGGCCAGGAAGGTGATGGCTGGTACTTGTTTTGGATGTATTAAGTGCTGTTGGAATGAATTATATCTTCCCCCAATGTAGTTCATTGTGCAGTTTCCACTGTCAACACTTTGAATGTGTGTGTATTTGCTGAATGCAAAAGCTGGTTCTTCCCTACCTAATATCTTGTTGGAAATGGCATATAGGATTAACTTCTGCACATTTAATTAAATATTGTATATGATCTTTCCTTGTAGGCAAAGTGATTAGTTTCAATTGCAAGCTCTGCGAGTGTCGTTTCAATGATCCTAATGCAAAAGAAATGCATATGAAGGGTCGCCGTCACCGATTGCAGTACAAGAAAAAAGTTAATCCCGAGCTTGTGGTGGAAGTCAAACCATCTCTTCGCCAACGTAAACTACAAGAAGAAAAGTTGCGCCGCCAGCAGGTAAGATGCTAATGTAGATTAGGTTTAAATAATTGTATGATATTTACAATTAACCATTTCATGACAATTTGGTAAATGGGTTTATTTTATAAATGCAGTGGAGTCCTACTCTAAGGAAACCATTCATGCTAGTAATTTTCACTGCAAAACAATCTCCATTGCATTCAAATGATAGACATGGTCCACACGAAATTTCCCAATTCTCTCCTGTTGCAGTCAATTAAAAAAGATTTTTTAGCAGAATGAAATCCTTCTATTGCAATTAGACCTTAGGTGATAGGTACCATTTTGGGTAGGACACTACCGTCTGTGTTGGTGCATGTTGCAGTATTGTGTCCGAAAAGTCTACATACGTGTGTATAAATACCCTCATAAAAATGGCAAAAATGCCATGTTACAAGTTGGGCACATAAGAGTATGAACTTAATTTTATCTTAAAGGATTTTTGTTCATCTGTTTCATCACTGGTCAAACTTTTTTACTCAAATAATGGCAGTTATTATTATTATTATTATTATTATTATTATTATTATTATTATTATTATTATTATTATTATTATTATTATTATTATTATCTGGGTGGGGGGGACCCTTGACAGCTCCCTGTAGCTGTCTTGCTGAGATTGCTCAGTGTAACAACTCACATGAATTGTTTGTGTTCTGTTTTTTCCCAACGGCGACCAGAAGCAGAACCTGGCCCCTCAAAGATACAGAAAGCAAATGATATTCCACATTTTCACTGGGAAAGGATCTTGAAAGTCACTGAAGCTTTAAAACCTTGGTCCATAAGAATCAAAGCTTTGAAACTGATAAATAACTCTACCTTACCTTGAGGTGTTTTCGGGGCTTAGCGTCTGACAGCTGGTTGGACAGCGCTTCGGATTCGTAGTCCTGAAGTTCCGGGTTCGATCCCCGGTGGAGGCAGAGACAAATGGGCAAAATGTTTCTTTCACCCTGATGCCCCTGTTACCTAGCAGTAAATAGGTACCTGGGAGTTAGACAGCTGCTGGGGGCTGCTTCCAGGGGGGGGGGGTAAGAAAAAGGAGGCCTGGTTGAGGACCGGGCCGGGGGGACGCCAAGCCCTGAAATCATCTCGAGATAACCTAAAGATATAGCGTCCCCACGGCCCAATCGTCGACCAGGCCGCCTCGTTGCTGGACTGGTCGACCAGGCTGTTGGACGCGGCTGCTCGCAGCCTGACGTATGAATCATAGCCCTGTTAATCAGGTATCCTTTGGAGGTGCTTATCAAGTTCTCTCTTGAACACTGTGAGGGGTCAGCCAGTTATGCTCCTTAACTTGCAGTTAACCAGCTTGCAGTCTATCCCCAGGCCCATGATCACAAATATGCTATTCTGTGATGTTTTTAAATGTGTTTGGCTGGTATTCATGCTTGTGGGTATTGGAGGTCAAAAAGGGTCATGGCAGCCAGGTATTTAGTAATGTCCCTATTCCTATCAGGTCCTGTTTTTCCCTGGGCCATGTTTCCTGGCTGACAGTCTCTCCTTCGTATTAGAACTTGCCACCCCCTTCTTGCATTTCTCAGGTTACTTAGCTACAAGGAGCCTCTAGAACTCCGGCATTAAATGTAATGTAATGTCTTTTTTCTGGTATCTCCCTGGTGGCTCCCTGGCTCCCTCCCTTTCAGGTTCATCATGTTTGTTGGGGTGATTTTTATCTGTTCCAGAACTGACTTTGAAGTTGACAAAGAAGTGAGCACTCTCGGTCACCTGGTGGTGGCGATCGATACCAGCTTGTTAAAACTAGATTAAATTATTGTTTGGAGGGTTGTTAGGCAGGTACATGACTTCAGTTTTTGTGTATCCTGTATCTCTAAAGCTTTCTAGATGAAGTGGCAGAATGTCATTTGCTCAGCCCCTCTACTAGGGGGCCAGGCTCTGGCTCTGGTCTCTGTTAAGCCAAACAAAATTCCTGCAATGGATATATATGACTATAGTATGAAGCAATTTCAGTGAGATAGCAACGGGGAACCATCAGGACTCGACCAGAAATATGCGTTACGTTACGTTCATTATTTTTAAATTTTACATTACATTCCTTGAGTTTTTAATTTGCTCTGGTGGTAGATTCCTCTTTCTCAGCCTACCTGCATAATTTTATTGACAATGCCGGGTGGGGGTGGACCACCGTAAAAATGCCGCAGCCCAGGAGTTGAAGGCTTTATATGCATGGTAAAATTAGTTGAGAATTGATATATTGAATTTTGTTTTGCCTGTCATTTTGTAATCGTTGAGTTTTATAACTTCATTCTGAAGCCTTTTGCAAATTGCTTAGAACTGGTTGGCAAAGTGCATGGCATTTTCAAATTAGTAATTGCTCTTGGAAAAACAAAACAAATGTGGTATCAGGTTATGGCAGTATTTTATTAGAACTTTCTTTAACATTGTTTTTGTCTTCTTGCAATGAGAATGTTTTTGTTGACTATAGAGATGTGCTATATATTATAATTTAGTTTAGGCATGATCACATTGGTATTCTGATCTGTTCACTATGTCAAGTTCTGTTTGAGCACTGCTGATGTGTATTATTATTTTTAGAAGTACAGTGATTGCATGTACAGTATTAAATTATATTATATTTTTGTACTAGCATTATTTTTATTGCCCATTTTCTTTTGTTAACGGAGTAAAGTTTTGATGTAGAATTGTTTTATTCGTTTATTTTGAGCATGATAATGTACTCCTCTTAAGTTAAGTGTAAGCATTGCTTGTAAATAGCCTGGTTTGCACCAGCTGCGTGAGGAGATGTGGAGGCGCCGGGAGGAGGAACGACTACTGGAAGAGGAGGAGCGGTGGTACTGGGAGGAGCGAAGAAGGTACGAAGAAGAATGTGAATATCTAGACTGGTGTCGTCGGTATCCTCGAGGCCCACCAGGACCCCCACCTATGATGCCTCCGGGCATGCCAAGACCACCCTTCATGCCTGGGATGCCTCCAATGATGGTAAGATTTCCATTAACACTTTCCGCCTCACGGCGAAGGTAAAAAAAAAAGCGGTATGTGCTCACGGCGTTTTGCCGCGTAAGCATAAAAACAAAAATGTGTATACTCTTTTTACTCTCCTGACCTTAGTTCTCGAGCTACGTATTTCATTTTGGTACCAACGTGTTCGCAATAAAATTCTCTAGAAGAACATCAGTAAAAAAAAGTCACGAAACGTATAGGGATACCAGCACCAAATAAATAACTATGAAGATGACTCGCCGTGAGCGCCCAATAGCAACAAAATGTTTTTACTCTTGGGATTGTTATCACCTCCACACTTGTCCTACAGCGTTAATTTTGGTATCAATGGACTCGCAATGAAATTCCCAACACGGTGATATGAATATAAGCGTAGAATAATGATTGCGGCCCGCCCGCAAGAGTGGGAAGTGGTGAAATTGTTACCCGGTATCGGTGACGGGACGACACACGGCGCTTTGAAAGTTTATACTTATTTCACTCTCATGACATTATTATTCTATGTACGTCATTCATTTTTGTGTCAATGTGTTCGCAATAGAATGTTCTATGAGCCCGTAGGTAAAAAAGATCAACAAAGCTTAAGATAGAATAGTGCCAAATATATAACAACGCTGGAACATATCAGTGAGCGTCAAACACACACGAAATGTTTTTACTTTTGTTTTGTTTGTCAAGTTTATACTTGTTGCACACAGTTATTTTTGGTTGTACAGTGATCGGAATAAAATTCCCTAAACAGACAAATGTATATAATACATGATATGGGGGAAGCATTACCAGTATAAACTGCTAAAGTCACCCACCTGCAACCCGTTTGGGACATAATACCATTTGATCGAAGTGGTCCACACCTTTCATGAACTTATTGTACCATGCAGCCTAGTGGTGAGAAAGAGAGCCTCATAGCGCGCAGTTTGAAACAAACCCAAAGTAAATCGGATAAAAATTGAATTTTATACAAATATTTTAAAAGAGGACATAAATTTATGTCCACCATGCGGGAGCGGGTAGGCGAAACAGGACGCCGGGAGGAGTCCTGATCCGCAGAAAGTGTTAAATACCTGTACTTGCAAAATTAAAAGATAGGCTAGTTGTACTAGATTATTCTGTAACTCTCCCCGAAGTCATACCTTGTGCAATTATCACTCAATTATTAGTTTATTTTCCATAACTGTGTTGAAGGTATTAAGATTGTTTAATTAAATACCTAATAAAAAAAGTAAGAAGTGTAATATTGACAGGAAGAGTGTTTGAGGCATGTCAGTATGATCTTGGGAATGAGAGAGAAGGCAGGGGAAATAGATAAGTTGGACAAGGATAGCCTCTTCAGACTGAAAGAAAGCAGGACAAAACATGTGTGAAAGCTGATAGTGCAAACGAGCTGAAGTTACATAAGAAAGTACAGAGTTAACTACCCTGTACGGGTAGTTAACAAATGAAATGTTCTAAAAGAGGGAGTTGTGGAAACGACTGCCATCCACAACGTTAAGGCCCGATTCAACTAAAAATTTGAGAGTAGTTAGGCTGTAATGCAACTGGTACAAGGTTAGGCAGAGCATAAAGAGCTAGACCTCACTACCCAGTAAATACTGATAAGTAACGGGTTAAGAGAACTGAACCTAGCGCCCCTAGAGGTGAGAGAAAAGAAAGGGATGTTATTACTACATACAAAGTACTGAGGGAAATAGACACTGTTCAAGGGCAGTTTACTTAAATTGAAAAGTGGGACTAGGGATTCATAGTAGTCATATGAGATGTAAGGCAATCATGTGTTGGAAGTTAATGATGTTGAGATTAAAGGTGATGCGGTACATTGAGTTTCAAAAACTTCTTTGAGTTCTTGGGTTTCATGTTACATGCCAGGTGGGTCAGTGCAAGCGTGCTTAGAAGCTTTAAAAGTCTTGAATTGAAAGTTACTTCTTATCCTGTGTTCTTATTTGCAAAAACTCATCACTTGTGCCAACATCAGTCTTATCATTACTTTAATGGGGGCCTCAGTGGTTCTGAACTACCCCAGTGCATTAATTTTCTTTGGTTGCTCTTAATCCTCATTCTAGTTTTCCTCATCAGCATTATAAATATGCTCCAGCCATAAATTCTTAACCTGTATCATCCCCACTATTATACACATCCCCTTACAGCATGAGCTGAATGCATTTCACCGTGTTGTCTAATATACCCTATACAGTACTATGTTGAGTGGAGCTGCTGTGATTGTAAAGTATTTTTTTATTTGTACAATCATTGACTAGTACATTACTAGTCTCAGGTCATTTGTACTCCATTAAAGATAAGGAAGGATCCTAATGTGTTAATTTCTTTCTATACAGCCTATGCGCAGACCAGACTCAAGTGATGATAGACATGTTCTGGCAAAGCATGCAGAAATATATCCAAAAGAGGAAGAACTGGGAGCTATTCAGAAGATTGTATCAAACACAGAAAAAGCCCTCAAAATGGTTTCTGACTACTTAGCAGAGGTTGATGCACCTAAAGAACAACAGGTCAAGCCAAAGATAAAAAAAGATAAAGAAGAAGATCCAAAGGGAGAGGACGACAAAAAAGATGGGTGAGTTTTTTTCCAGATTACTTTGAAGCAAGCAGTTTATTTGGAAGTGACAAGATTAGGAAATTGTTTGGCTTACTGTGGACTAGAGCCAGAACCTGGTCCTGCTTACAAAGGCACAGGGAGCAAGTGTTCATTTGCCACCCCTATCCAGAAAGCCTCCAGAAGGTCAGCAAGGCTTTACACACAGCTGAAGGGTTCACAGAAAATGGAGCATCAAAACAGCCTAACAACTTTGCAAATGATTGTTAATTGATTGTCTTATAGTCCAAATATATATTATTTATTTACCTAAATCTGCATATTGGGGATAAATTGAATTAAAATATATAATTACTTTTCAGTGAAAAAAAAGAGGATGGTCCTCCACGAATGCTGAAAGGTGTGATGCGTGTAGGTATCTTAGCAAAAGGTCTCTTATTGCGAGGAGACACCAGTGTTCAGTTGGTCGTGCTTTGTGGAGACAAACCTACACGAACCCTGTTAGACAGAGTGGCAGATAATCTTCCAAAACAGCTTGCGGTGAGTGTATGAATTTTTCTTTTTGAAGTCTTGCTTTTTCTTGTCATTCTTTTATAGACAATCCAATTAGTTGCTTTTTATGGATTATCATTTTGTGAAGGGTTTCTTGTTGTATTTTAAAGTTGTATCTGTTACAGGTAACGGTTTGATATTTTGTATGTGTACAGATTCTTTAGATAATGCATCTTAATTTCCATCCTTATATATTTACATTTGTGGCCAGTTATGTGGAGCTTTAACTTTCTCATTGCATACTAAGAGTAATTGTTTAAATTCTTGTACTTGCATGGATATACCTAATAAGTAATAGGGGTCAGATTTTAGCTGCTTCTGTAGCAGAGTGACCCGATAGAAAGATGGCCTGGAGTTTTTGGACAGAAATAAGTTTATAGGATTTAGTGAGAAAATTAAGTTTTTTTTCTAAAAGAGGGCAACTTGTCTCAGCCAGTGGTTGTCAGACTAGGTGACTAGGGGCGAATGTAGTAGCAAAAACCATAACATTATTGTTGGCAACCAGGAGATTGGCGTATAGCTTGGAGACATTGGGTTCCATGCTTCAAGGGAAAGGGTGAATGAGAATTGAGCCACATTATTCACTGTAAAAGCCTTAGAACTAACTCCATTCCCCATAGAAAAGATGACAGACCAGCTGGAAATCTTTTCCCAAGAGCAACAACACAATTTAGGCTTGTCAGATGACAACAGTCAGCCCGAACTCTCCTAAGTGAGTAGGTGCCACCTTTCACCCTCTCCCTCTCCTACTCTTCAAACAAATGAAAAGGCATTCAATAGTTATATGCCCCTGAGGGATACAGAGCCTATATGATGCTTCCTGAAGCGCTCAGGAAATTTGGGCTTGGCCTCTTCTGCACTGCAAGAAAGGATTTTTATTATTATTTTCTGCCACAGGTGTGGCCACATTTACAATGCAAACCAGCATATATACATTTTCTTCTGTCTTCCGTGGGTGAAGGAGGGGATCCAGCTTGCTCACATCTGCTATGACCATGGAGGGAAAATGGGCAATACCTATTTAGTCCTAGAAATCTGACTGTAAGTCTACATAATGGAAAAACTAATCCCACCATAGTGACAATCTTGTCATCTAACTCAGCTGAAGACTTTGACTGCCAACTTTGATATTTTTGTGTTAAAGCATGTAGCCAGACAACAGGGGCAATCCGAACAAGCGAGAGCTGATCACTGGGGGAAGATTCTTAATGTTACATTTCCCAGTCTGTTAAAAAGTTTGTAGCCTGTAATTAAGCATTTACAGCATTGTGGTTCGAACCAAAGAGAGTCAGCGAAGCACTTGTTCTGGGAGTGTTCGGACGTCATCAATTAAGTCGTTTGTGAGCCGTTTTTCATTCATAAACGGGGTTTGGCGGGTCCATAAAATTGACTTTGACCTTTGAGTATGGGCTGTATAGTACTGGACACATCAAAGTGCATGGAGACCCTGGCTGACCGGGTTCGAATCCTTCAGGGGTCGAGTTTTCTGATATGTAAGCCCGAGTCTTAAAATTGCACATGGCACACATTTTGCCTCCAATATATACATGATAATCACTCATTTGCTATTAAAAGTATAGTCTTCTCTATGGCTGCTGTAAACATTCAGACACTGGATGGTAATGTTGCCAAAACTGGTCGTTTGTTTACCTAGGCCTTAGAAGGAAAGCGAGTGATTTTTTTTCTCTTCAAGCTTGGGGATGATTACTGGAGGCTGTGGAAGCAAAGGCTATTACTGAGAGTCCTGTGTATGTGCAGGACTATTTTAAATATTTTAAATTACTAAATCATAAATTTAAATGATAGATGCTATCTAAGCATTTAGACAAAATTCATACATGATTTGTGCCCTCCAGGGGGTTGATTCACGGCACACAAGTCTTGGGACAGTGAGAAGTATTAACACTAATTGGGGTCAAATGGTTACCATTTCTAAAATATCCTCCAGATAAGCACCCTTCAAGAAGTTAGGTACATTTGTCACAAACTAAATGTAACTAGGTTGGGCTTGGGGAGTAGAACAATTGCCAGTGTGACTATTTGCTGGGAGTGGCTATGAGTGGGAGGCACACGTTATTCTGGGACGTTATTGGAAGGCAAAAGTAAGCATTTGACTAGTGTGACTGGGGAGTAGCAAAGATTTGCATCATGGTGGTGGTGGCCATCGTAACCCCTGACTCTTTATAAATGCCTGATTAGTTACGATTATGATTAAGACAGTATTCATGCAAAAAAGTCTCAACTCTGCATAAATACAAACAAATTTTGTTAAATACATATAAGAATACTGTAGAAGTTTGCTATTTGAGAAAGGGCCCCCTTGCCGGATGAGCATGTTTCCCGGATTAACTGACTTTTCACCGCGGAAGTCCAAAAGAAAACATTTCCAGAAATGTTTGTATCACAAACAACAATAATTTGAATTAGTGTGTGATGCTGGGTGGGTGGTTAGCTGCTTGGCTGTTATGTAGGCAGGGCAAGTGGATGGGCAGGCATGGATAGGTGGGTTTTACATGTGTATGGCAGACAGAACTGCCTCCCCTCCCTTCCTTCCTGACAGACTGGTAGGGCAGCCGTTTCACTTGTTTATCTCTCGGTGGTAAAGGTTCACATGTTTATATTCGGCGGCAAGTAAACCCTTGGTTTTAGAGAGATTTTTAGGCTTCAAATGCTGTATACGCTGATCGGGCCAAATATCCGCTAGTCCAGCTTCTATGCACATTTTGGCCGGATGGGGAGATAACTTTATCCGGTCAAGTTTTTTACCGGATTAGGGAGTTTTCTGGATTGGCGGGTCCCAAATTAGCGAGCTTCTACAGTACGTGCTTTTTTGTTACGTATTTTACAACTAAAAATAAGAAATTTATCTGTCATATGATCATTAGTTGTATTTGATATATTTTAAGATAACCATGACCTGATTTTTAATTGGGATTAATTTTTATCTGAATGTTGTTGAAGGATTTGCAGTTTTATAAATGGAATTGTTGGGCTTTGCTTTCAATGGAAAATATACCTTTTGGTTTCCACGGTCAAAGGAATAACAAAGTAAAAATTAACGTCATTCATTTTATTGTGTAATATACGTTGTTGATGGTTGAGTACATTGTAAAATGTTACTTTTATGTTGTAGGTTGTTGCACCAGAAGACAAATATGACATCCAGAGAGTAGTTGAGGAGGCTGCACTAGTTGTGCAGAACATTGGTGAACAGCGAATCTCCGTGAATGTCACCTTAACGTCGCCCATCATGAGGGAACAGCTTCTTCATGATGGAGGTAACACAAATGGGTTAAATAGAAGCCTGATTGTCTACAGTGACAGGTTAAGAAGGAAGCCTTTTATATGGATTGAGTGAATTATTCTGTCTTCAATTTTTCTAATCTTTTTCTTTAATTTAGACTGATTTTTCAGTATGGATCTCTCCCTATCAATTTTTTCACTTTTGTTTCCCTTACCCACATTTATCTCAACAGAATATCTCTCAGCATCCATTGAAAGACTTTTCTAACTAGGGGAAGTCAAGATTTTCATCACATTATGCTGTACTTTTCTAATGTTGATCATATCATTTATGGCAGAATTTATGGTCTCAAGTAAATTGTGATGAAAATGCTACCAAGACTGGCCTCTTCTACTGCTTAACATTGAGACCAGGGGACACAGTGAAAGCATTATTATGAACAGTATTTATTAGTAGGCCCTGCTTTGTGACCAAACATTATAATTTTTTTTTATTTTTTTTTTATTTTTTGTATTTAAATTAAGCATTGCTGGCCCCTGGTTCACTAAGTTATAACTTTCCCCTCTGTCTTGATGGTCATTAGTAATGGAATGAAAAAGGGCCATATAAAGAGACACTGGACAAGAGAATTGCGTTCTTTGCAGTCAACTTTGACCTCAATCTAAACTGTACTGTACTTTTTCAGTTAAGTCTGTGCCTTGAGACCAGGCATGAACATTGTGGCTCTCTTGTACTGCAGAGGGGAAGAGTTGCCCATTGGCCACACCTGACCCAATCTCCACCATCCCTGGGAACACAGACCTAGAGCAGTCTTAGCTGTTTTATTCATTTTTAATATGTATAGTAGATAATGTACAAGTAAATTTCTTGACCTGGTACTTTTCCATGGAATTCATCTTTATATCTATCTTTGAAATATTTAAAATGCAAAGTAAATATGGAAAAACTCGTTCAGTTATAGACTGCCTGGCTTCCTGTTTACCCTATGCCTACACTGTCATGGTGTTAGGCTGCTGTGAAGTTTACATGTGCAGGCAGAGGTGGTGGGTGGTGAGAGGACGATGGCGGGTGGGTGGGTGTGGCGCGGGTGTGTGACGGACGCTGTGTTGTTGTATTTTAGACTCCCAGGTGACCGCCGCCAAGGATCCTCCAGATGTGCTCGACAAGCAGAAATGTCTGGACGCTCTTGCTGCCCTCAGACATGCCAAGTGGTTCCAGGTTTGCAACCCATTCATCTGAGGGTTAAACTAGGTTAGGCTGTTCCTTCCTCTTGTTTGGAATAGATGAGAAGGAACAGGTTGGCCTGGCCTCCCTCAAACTTTTCAGCCTTATGGAGATGTGTGGGTGGGTTGGGTTAGAAAATTTTAGGTTAGCTTTAGGTCATGTCAGGTTTTTGCCTTTACTGTGCAACCTTAGTTAACTGCCACCTGTATGTTATTTTATGCACATTTTGAAAATCAGCATGGATGAAGGTTTAGCAAGGTTGTTTATTAGAAGAACTTCATTTATTTGGCAATAATTATGCCAACTTTAAGGCTGATGCATTGTTTTGTTTTAATTTTCAACTTGCTGAGTTGGTCATTTTTCATGCTGATTTTCAGAGTGTACTTAGCTTTCACAGCTGCCAGTTCATAGGGTTTGGACAGTGATGGAAAGAGCCTGTTTCATTCATATCATGGTGGCTTTTATTTTATTTATTTTTGTTCTATTTCATGATAAGTCTTGAGCTAGGAAGTATTAATTGCCCCTTAACTACTCCCTGATTGTGGTTGGTGTGCAGTGAGGTAGTGATGGTTTTGTCTACTGCCTTTAACCTTATCCTTATGTGAGGCAAGGTAGTAGAAATCCCTCCTCCCAAAGTTGTCCCATATCCCTACATCCCATGCAGCTACCTCACAGCAGTGCCTCTCACCCATTCATGGAGGCGTCTCATTGTGGGCTTAGCCTGCAAGAAAAAGCATGAGGCTGGAAAGTACAGGAGGACTCTGCTTCGTTATGGAAAGGGGCTGTACTTTGTTCCAGTAATGGTGTGTCTTGCGCCTTAGTAGCTTGCTATCAGAATAACAGCAGTGGAGCCTTTGTTTTGTGGAGTTTCCAAGCAGAGTTCATACAAGAACCTGGTTCAACATAAATATTAAGACTATTTTGTGCTGGCTGTAGTGGGTGCATGGAGTGAAAGAAGTATACAATGTTTGTTCTATTTCATCTCTATGCACTTGTTAGTACAAGATGGGCAATATATATCTTACATGTATTTGAGTTGCACATATTTAGGATTCATGAATGATTTTGTTAAAAAATTTTATATTGTTAGATACTTAAAATTTTTTGTGCTTTCCAGTTTGTATATGGTATATCTAGTTATGAATGTGCATCAAGTAATTAATGCCCATCTTGGACCAACCAGCACTTGTGTAAAATGACGGTACTCATAATCGTGTTGTCCCTCAGGCTAGAGCTAACGGACTTCAGAGCTGCGTTATGGTGATAAGAATCCTTCGTGACTTGTGTCAACGTGTACCTACTTGGGGACCATTGAATAGTTGGGTAAGTATTATTGTGTGGCCTGGTGAGTCACCAACAAAGTATAACTAAATACTACACCTTGTTATAAAGTGTATGTCCAGAGTGAAGGTAAACTTGGAGCTGTGAGACTATACAGCATATAATTTGTTACATATTAATATTGTTGCTTGCTAATTTTTTATAACATTATAACAGATTTTTGGAATTATTGTGGCAATGTATTACACAATATACAAGATAATTTGCACATTTTACCTAAAGATAAATTTTAAATAGGTTTGTACAGATATAGTAGCATACACCAGTTTATCCAGGCGGTGCCATCCTTCCATTATCACGTGTATCTACTTTCTACTTTTGCTTAGACTTGGATATCCATTCTATTATTCTTAGCTAATCCCTATCTTTTTCTATGAGGTGTGTGTGTAATTACCTAAATGTAGTTACAGGATGAGAGCTTTGCTCTTGGTGTTCCATCTTCCCACCACTGTCATATAATGCTCTGAAACTACTGACTGTTTTGGCCTCCATCATCATCTCGCCTAACTTGTTTCAACCGTCTACCACTGTTTGCGAAAGTTAATTTTCTTATTTCTTTGGCATCTTTGTTTAGGTAGTTTAAATCTATGACATCTTGTTCTTGAAGTTCCTGATCTCGGGAATTCTTCCCTGTCAATTTTATCAATTCCTGTTACTATTTTGTACGTAGTGATAATATCGCTTTTTTTTTTCTTCTGTCTTCTAGTTTTGGCATATTTAATGCCTCTAACCTCTCCTCGTAGCTCTTGCCCTTCAGTTCTGGGAGCCACTTAGTGGCATGTCTTTGCACCCTTTCCAGTTTGTTGCTTCTTTAAATATGGGCACCACACAACCGCTGCATATTCCAGCTTTGGTCTAACAAAAGTCGGGAAAAGTCTTTAGTATTTCGCCATCAATGTATTTAAAAGCAATTCTGAAGTTAGAAAATGTAGCATAGGCCCCTCGCACAATGTTTTTAATGTGATCCTCAGGTGATAGTTTTCTATCTAGAACCAGCCCTAGATCTTTCTTTATCAGACTTCTTTAAAGATTTCTCACATAAGTTATAGGTTGTGTGGGGTCTATGTTCTCCTATTCCACATTCCGTAAGATGGCATTTATATACAGTCAATTCCATTTGCCAAGTGGTGCTCCATATACTTATTTTGTCCAGGTCTTCTTGATGACAATCATCTAAGTTACTTTTCTATAATCTTATCAGCAAACATGTTCATATAATTCTGTGTTCTATTTGGTAGATCATTTATGTAGACAATGAACATTATCGGTGCAAGAACTGAACTCTGTGGTACTCCACTTGTTACATTTCTCCAGTCCGATACACTTCCTCTTATTACTGCCCTCATTTTTCTATCGGAAAATTTTTCAGCTATGTTAGCAGCTTACCTGTCACCTCTCCAATGTGTTCCAGTTTCCAGAACAACCACTTATGTGGAACTGTCTAATGCCTTTTTAGGTCCAGATAGATGCAGTCAACCCAACCATCTCTTTCTGGTAAAATCTCTGTGGCTTGATCATAGAAACTGAGTAAATTAGTTGCACAAGATCTTCCAGATCGAAAACCATTTTGACCGTCTGATATATAGTTTGTCTCCAGGTGCTCTACTCATTTAGTTTTTAATTATTTTTCCAATATTTTGATTATTACACTTAACGATACTGTACAAGTCTATAATTGAGGAGGTCTTTCTTGCTACCGCTTTTGTAGATTGGAGAATCTCATATATTTGTGGACCTGGAGACCGTCAGGACTCTGGCGGTCGTCCCTACAACCTGGATGGATGGATATATATATATATATATATATATATATATATATATATATATATATATATATATATATATATATATATATATATATATATATATATATATATATATATATATATATATATATATATATATATATATATATATATATATATATATATATATATATATATATATATTATATATATATATATATATATATATATATATATATATATATATATATATATATATATATATATATATATATATATATATATATATATATATATATATATATATATATATATATATATATATATATATATATATATATATATATATATATATATATATATATATATATATATATATATATATATATATATATATATATATATATATATATATATATATATATATATATATATATATATATATATATATATATATATATATATATATATATATATATATATATATATATATATATATATATATATATATATATTATATATATATATATATATATATATATATATATATATATATATATATATATATATATATATATATATATATATATATATTATATATATATATATATATATATATATATATATATATATATATATATATATATATATATATATATATATATATATATATATATATATATATATATATATATATATATATATATACGTCGTACCTAGTAGCCAGAACGCACTTCTCAGCCTACTATGCAAGGCCCAATTTACCTAATAAGCCAAGTTTTCATGAATTAATTCTTTTTCGACTACCTAACCTAACTTTTTCGGCTACCTAACCTAACCTAACCTATAAAGATAGGTTAGGTTAGGTTGGGTTGGTTAGGTTCGGTCATATATCTACGTTAATTTTAACTCCAATAAAAAAAAATTGCCCTCGTACATGATGAAATGGCTAGCTTTATCATTTCATAAGAAAAAAATTAGAGTAAATATATTAATTCAGGAAAACTTGGCTTATTAGGCAAATCGGGCCTTGCATAGTAGGCCGAGAAGTGCGTTCTGGCTACTAGGTACGACATATATATATATATATATATATATATATATATATATATATATATATATATAATAATAATAATTAATATCGAGAGGGGGGGGTGGGTGGGTGAGAGAGATAGATAGGGGGAGGGGTTGGGTGAGAGAGGGTGGGGTGGGGGGGTGAGAGAGAGAGAGAGAGTGGGTGGGTGTGTGTGAGAGGGTCTGTGTGAGAGAGAGAGGGAGGGTGAGGGGGTCTGTGTGAGAGAGAGGGAGGGTGAGGGGGTCTGTGTGAGAGAGGGTGAGGGGGTCTGTGTGAGAGAGGGTGAGGGGGTCTGTGAGAGAGGGTGAGGGGGTCTGTGAGAGAGAGAGAGGGTGAGGGGGTCGGTGAGAGAGAGAGAGGGTGAGGGGGTCGGTGAGAGAGAGAGGGGGGTGATTGATTCTGGCAGCTGGTAATTTCCAAAGAATAATGAAAATATTCACAGGCAGAGCAATTATTGTTTTGAGTGGTAAATAGTTGGCTCATGTCATCTCTGGAGGTTCTCATGATACTTAGACTGGTTCCCTCATACACTGTGCTCCAAAAAATCTACAATTTTAAATGATCTTGTAATGTTGAGATGGATGCATTTTGGCATCATTGCAATGCCTTCTGTTGAAGTATGGATGATGATATTCAGCATCATTGGATTGCTAGTGTTGTATGACGACAGGCAAAACAAAGTATGTTTTAGTTATATTGGTGGTCATTAGCAACCTCCTCCCACCTCATTGTTAGTCCAGTGTTGTGGATATTTAGTCCAATTGGATATTTCAATGATAATAGGGTAATCAAATGTCACTTACATGGCCTAAGGATAGAAACCAAATCAAACTAGTCTTGACACTGCTGAAATGAGCAGTGTTTTTATTGTTAAACAATTAAAAATTAATTTTAAGAAAAATGTATAGTGCCTATAACACTTTGGTCCAAGATAGGAACAGGCCCAAATCTTAAGGAACTGCAGCAAAATGGTTAGTTTTATTATTAGAAATGTAATAAAAACACAACTACCCAATTTAACTTACTCCATCTCCATTCAAAATGATAGGACCAAAACTATTGTGCCATAGAATAATGGATTAATTATATACCAAAGGGGAGGTGATTTTTATTTGATACATTGTTTGGATTGACTGCCATATAAACATCTAGTTTAGTTTTTGGTACAAAGTGTATACAACAGTTCCACCTTCTAGTGTTCATAATTCTTAATGTGTATTTTGACCCTAATCTAATGGCAGGCGATGGAACTGATGTGTGAAAAAGTGATTGCTTCGGCTGGACAGCACCTAAGTCCAGGAGATGCTCTTCGTCGGGTGTTTGAGGCACTTGCTTCTGGGCTACTACTACCTGGCTCACCTGGTCTTCTTGATCCTTGTGAAAAGGACCCGATTGATGCTGCCTCCCCTCTGTCAGCCCAAGAACGTGAAGATATTACTGCATCAGCACAGGTGATTTTGAACTGACCATTGTATATTTATACTGTATACCCAGTAGTATATATATATTAATTTTGAAATTCTTCCCTGATATTGTGTTCAAATAATACCAGGTTCCCCTGCTTGTGTCTTTGCTCTGAATAATAATCTCAAGTTTTTCTTTCAATTTCATTGAGGTTTTCTTTATCCATATAGCCAATAATATATCAGACTTCCTTATTATGAATCCTGGTTATAACAGTAGAATTTCCAAAGATTGTTCATCGAGTTATAATCGGAATAGAATACAGTAACTATTTTGCTGGTTCTAAAGACAACGTATGTAGTGATTTTGTTATTTTCGAGCTCATTTTACTCTGCGTAGGCTTTGTTCCTGAATATACATCACAGGCCTAAATGTGATGCTGGTGTAGACAGTGGGGCCATAATTTTTTTTTTGTAATGATTATTTTTAACCAAGTGTGAGCCTCTGCTCTCCATCATGTACATCACCAGCATGTATGATGTTGTCATTTTGGAGAGGCCAGTTCTTTTACTCAAACTTTAGTAGTGACCAAATGATTACTTCATGGAACTGGAGCAATGAGTGTTTATCAGTTGTGTAGTACTTGTATGACACACAAGCATTATGGATAGCCATATGCAGAAAGTAGAACTTAATGTTCTTCCTCTGCTTGTGACATTTCCATGTGAAATTATATTACTTTACCATTTGGTCGAAGTGATAGCACCTTTCAAGTGATTATTGTAGTAACAGATTACATATAAATAATGAAATATTTAAATATTTCTAATTTTTAAATATGGAATTTTAACAAATATTTTGATTTAGGATGCAACATGTGTCCCCGACGGACATCCGTAGTTATTTACTGGCACAATATCCGTCCCTGCCTGCTGAAAGTGTTTTTTAAATTGCTGATGAATGAATGTAACTTCTAAATGTAAATTCTGAGTACTCGGTATATAACTACAGATATTACATGTTATTGTTTTCTCTAAAGTAAATCATTTACTGTAAATGTGTAAACTAACCTAACTGTAAATGTACGAACATTTATAAATTAATTTTTTAATTTAAATTTTAGTTGACAAGGGATGGTGGTTAACCCATATAAACAACCTGTGTATTCTGTTGATGGTCTCCCCCCCATTTTCCCCTTTGATAAAAAATTGGCAAATATAGTACATTTATCACCCTACATTTTTTTAATTAAATATATATGTGCATATGTCTTTAGTCAAATTGGTAATAAAACTAGAGCCAGCATGATGTATAAAATGTTATACATGTCTTATCCTCAGCATGCTCTGCGGTTGATAGCATTCCGTCAAATACACAAGGTGCTTGGAATGGACCCTATTCCTCCACCCAAATTCCAGCGTGGTGGCCGCTTCACACGTAAAAGAAGACGTGACAATTCCACAGGCGAGGGCAATGACTCCGAGGGTGAGTTGGACGGTAGGCATTCAAATTGTTTTTTGTTGTAAAGTAGCCCCCATAATCTTTTAAGGTGTACAGGTGCAAAACCAACAAATTAAATCTTTAAACATAATAAAATAAGCAAGTTAATTATAATAAATACCATACATCTGAATTTTACTAATCAACACAAATATACACACAGAAGTCACACTAACATGATGCATCAAATGAACAAATCCACTAACCTAACTATAAATGTACAATTTATGTAAATGAGGATGTAAATGTACATCCTCATCACGGCCCTTGTGGATTTGAACACAAATATAACCTATTGTAGGAGGTGTGGCAAAACCCTATAAGATAGTCCACTCGTTATTAAATAAATTATCCATTATCCCACACCCACTTCCACCAGATACTCAAATGTCAATATGCTGTGGTTGCTCATTTTCATGGGAGCTTCAAATTTGACTTTCCTTATTTCTGACTCGAGGTGAATATCAGGTAGTCTAGCTGGTTTGTCGTTGCGTCTCATTCTTGTGGTTCCCTTGACATGTTGGCTTAGAAAGTTTCTTGTTGCCACTTCCAAAATTTAGCTCTCAATGTATTTTCACCTCCATGTGGTTCCCCATTAACCCCATTGTGTGTGTATGTATACATAATGTAATTTAAGAGGGTACAACCTGAAAAAGTCATTGACTTGTGGCTGAAAATTCATGTCATGTATTTTATGTTTAGGTACATTTCCTTACAGCAGAGGCTGTAAGGAAATACAGGTGGTATCTTGGGAGTGGGAAATTCTTGCCCAGGGAAACTGTGATAAATTAATCTTTTTTTTTTATCTTATAGGTGGAGATGGAAAAAAAGATAAGAAAGAGGACGGTGAAGACTCAAAGATGGATATGGATAAGGAGAGCAAATAGTCCTTAGAAGGTGCTGGAATATTTTAATATTTTGCTAATAATTTTTTAAGGCAAGTTGTTTTGATCCTAATTACCATTTTGTTGACAAGCTCAACAAGCAGTATAAAAAGTGTGTAATTGTGTTGTAAATTTGTAGTGTTCTTAAATTCTTTACTATGTGAAATTTTAATTTTATTTTCTCTCGAGACCAAGTTATTGGCATAAAGGGCATTTCCTGGGTTAAACTATTTCGATGAGGTTTCTTGTGTACACTCCTACAGTCGTCATTATTTATCATAATTCAGTATAGACTTCACTTCATCTTCACAAAATATTTGTTAGTAATGCTTGATTTTTTAAGTCAATAAGTAATGGCAAAATATAAATATATATATATATAAATATATATAAATATATATAAATATATATAAATATATATATAATATATATATATATATATATATATATATATATAATAAATAAATAAATAAAATACACACACACACACATATGTACATACATATATCTGGCTGGACCAAAGAGCAAAAGCTCAACCCCTGCAAGCACAACTAGGTGAGTACATACATACTAATTAGTGAGTAGTGAGTGAGCACATGCATACTAATTAATATTTACAAACACAGTAGCCACCCAATTTAATGACCTGTAAGGACT